TCTTACTATGTTGCCCAGGCCAGTATTGTGTTAATAGCGTGTTGAAGTTGCCTGTAAATCTTCTCATGTTTCTTGAAAAATTCATTCCTACTGACTATAATCTTGTGCTGCTGTTGTAAATGGAGTCATCTCTTTGATATATGCCAGCTGGCTGCTGAGTGAGTGTGTATAGAGACTTGTGCCACACCCGCTTCTGTACTTCTCTGCTGTTAGGAGTACTTCTCAGGTGCTGTTGGGTTTTCCAGGTGCATCACCTGCACATGGTACTCATTTCACCTCCTTCCTCTCTCTGATGCACCAGCCTTGGCTGTTCCCTGGCCCAGAAGCAGGGTCAGGGAGTAGAGGGTGGTGAGCCCTCGGGAGCCAGACCTGTGCCTTGACCAGGGGTACAATGTGGGATAAGGAACTTAACCTTTCTGTGCCTCTGGTTCTCCATCTGTCGGTGAGGACACAGCATCTGTCTGCCTTTTGGGATTTGAGGGAGGACACAGGAGCTAATAGGTGTGAAGCAGTTGACGAGTGGTCTGGCATGTGGTAAGTTTCAGTAATACTAATAGTTAACTTTTCCTGTTAAGACAATACCAGCTGTGTATTTTCTTTCCCATTTTTTCCCCATATTTTTGGAGAGTTGATTCTGCAACTTGCTTTCTCTTCATATTTTCAGGGACCTCTGCCTTGGGTATAAAATCATAGATGGGTGTGTTGCTAAGAAAAAGCTCTTGGCAACCAGTATTAATACCACACTCCATGTGACGTGTCTTCCTGTCATTTTTTATTGTCCTTTGACCAGGTGGGCTGGATGACACTTTGCACACAATTATTGATTATGCCTGTGAGCAGAACATTCCCTTTGTGTTTGCTCTCAACCGCAAAGCTCTGGGGCGCAGTTTGAATAAGGCAGTTCCTGTCAGCGTGGTAGGGATCTTCAGCTACGATGGGGCCCAGGTGAGCGCACAGGGCACAGGCCTCTTCAGTCACTGCCCGTGGGAGGAAGTGGGGGCAGGTGGTCAGTGTGGGCTTGCCCACAGAGCAGCTCCAGAACCTCCAGTAGGCTGTCATTGAGGAGAAGCCACCACTTAGGCAGAACCTTCTTGTAAAAAGTTAGCCTTTGTCTCCTTGACAGCATGGGGTGTCTGGTTCTGAATTGAGCTCTGTTCTGGGCTTGTGCTGACATAGTGGCACCTCAGGCAGGCCCAAGAAATCGGCCTAGCCCACTCTTCCCTCTGGGGCAGCATCCCTGGTAGCCATCCATAAGCATAAGGTCCACATGACCCCGTGTCAGCCCTGCTTCTCTGTGGAGGGTGCCATTGCTGAGTTGGAGGGACCCGTGTCCTCTGTCGCTGGGCTGTTACCTGTGTGCTCTCACTTGTGCCCAAGGATCAGTTCCACAAGATGGTTGAGCTGACAATGGCGGCCCGACAGGCGTACAAGACCATGCTGGAGAATGTGCAGCAGGAGCTGGCGGGAGAACCCAGGCCTCAGGCACCTCCCAGCCCGCCCACACAGGGCCCCAGCTGCCCTGCAGAAGATGGCCCCCCAGCCCTGACAGAAAAAGAAGAGCCACACTACAGTGAGTGCTTAAGGGAGAGTCGTGTCAGGTCAAGTGTCCTCTAAGTTATTTATCGACTTTAATTAGAGTCCCCAGGAGAGCAGCTTGATAATGCTGCAAGACCAGCTGAGTAGCAGGGCCCAGTAAGTCCAGCTGAGACTGGCCATAATAAGGCCAGTCCATTGCCTAAGAGGTATTATCAGACTTTTGCTTGTCAGTGACTGTCTCAGACTTCAAGTCAGATGTCTCTTGACAATGGGTGGCCTTAAGGATAGCTATACCCAAGACAGGCTTGGAAGGCCAAGTAAAGGTTCAGTCCTCTCCTAGCCCACCCACACAAGGCCCCAGCTGCCCTGTAGAAGATGGCCCCCTAGCTTCTGTTCACTAAGGGGCAGCCTGGCCCAGCAGGCTGAGAACAGTGAGTGAACGCCTGCCAGGACACCTCTGAGCACCATGAGCTGCTGGGCAGTGGCCACAGGCTCCCTTGTCCATGCTGCTGGTTTTCTGACAGGAGTCTTCCTACTGGTTGATGCCTCTTCCTCACTCGTGCTGTTTTCTCATTTTAGTTGAAATCTGGAAAAAACATCTGGAAGCATACAGTCCATGTGCCCTGGAGCTAGAGGAATCCTTGGAGGCTTCAACCTCTCAAATGATGAATTTGAATTTATGAGAGTTCTTGCCTGTGTATCTGTATTTTGGGTAAGGAGGGGAGGTCTGAAAAAGACTTTGGGGCTTTTTCTTCTTCTCAGTTTTTCATGACAATGTAATTTGTGTAACTGTTGAATCTGGAAATTGATCAGCATTAAAGGGCACATGAAGCAGTGTCTGCAGGCATTCAGTGCTGCGGAGCCTGTTAAAGGTCACTCACATGTGATGTGCAGGTGTTAATCTCTTCTAAAAGCCTGGTGACACAGCTCTGGCTTTCCGAGCACACTGTGGATCTGGAAAGTACTGGAAAATGTGATACTTAGAATACTTCGGCTGCTAAGGAAACTTCCTCTCCATTGCAGAATAGCTGAGCCAAGTGAGTGAGTTTGCAGATAGCAGGTGGTGAGCTCCTGCTTGCTGGAGGTGGCCATGGAGGGCCATTCCCGCCTGGCAACAGCACCGTCCTGCAGGGAGCCACTTGGCAGAAGGATGCAGGGCTGCTGGTGTCAGAGCAAGAGGGCTACCGGGCAAGGGCCCTTTCTCAGGGGATGTAGCTTTTTTAAAAGATTTGGTAACACTTGGAGGATTTGCTAAAATGAGCCTCAGAAGGGAAATCGGTTTTCTAACCTGTGACTTTTTGAAATGAATTATTCCTTTCAGTCTTTATTTTTCAAAGAAACAATGTGTATTGAAGTACCTAGATTTGTTTGATAATCAACAAATCTTTCCTTTTTAAATGAACATATTCTGAATGTGGTTTCTGTCTTAGGCCAGGAGGACAGAGTTTACTTTCATATTTTCCCTGTAAGTAAGAGGGCTTATTTATTTTAAATAAAGAGTAATTATTAAATTTTGTTTCAGACTGTGGTGATTTTAGGCTTATCAGTGGTCTCTGTCTTACTTGATCATTCGTATGTCTTAATTTATCCCCTTTGGACAGTCTAGGCCCTGAAATAAAAGGGGGCTGTGTAATGGGGATTCTGCTATCCCTAGCACTCCTAGGTCTGGAAGTAATGATTGTCAAAAGCCTCCAACACTGCACAGACCTGCCGGGGCCAGATCCTGGCTCAGTCCCAACCTGCGCTTGCGTTCTTCTCACCACAGCCAATGGCAGGAAAGAATCTTCACTGCTTTTTGCTTGTCAGGTAAGCAGGGTATTGTTTTGGCTTTGAAAGTGCTCTTAATTGAATTCAGTCATGCCAATATTGTACCTCTGAGAAGTGGCCAGTGATGAGCAAATAAAATTGGAATGAGTCAGAAATGACATGCTACGGGCAGGGCTGGAAATGTGACCAGAGGTTGGTGTATGAAGGCACCGTCCGCCCTGTCATCTGTGGAGCTCACAGTGACCAGTGTGAGCCTTGCTGTTCTTCACACGTTCTGAGCTGTTTAGACATGGGAAGTAGATGTGGTCAGTCAGGCCATCAGTAGTCCGAAAGCAGCGAGTCATCTCCACCCATTTATCTTTCAGGGCAGTCAGCGGGGCCGGCAGGAAAGGAGAGGGCTTTCCTGCTTCCTCCTCCCCTCATCAGTAGGTAGCAAGTCAGTTGTGGTAAGTTTGAAAATAGGAGATTATTTGAGAATGAAAGTTCCAAAATTAATTTGTGGGGAAAAAGACAAAATAGCTATCAGCTGCACTCAACAGCTAGAATTTTAAAATTTGATAAATCAAAAAGTTAAAGATCTCTACAGAGATGAATTCCTCTGCTCAGAGCCCCTTTTTAGAGCTCTCTAGTCTGTGATGTTTGTTTTGCTAATCTTAAGATAAAAGCAGCTTAAACAGAGTAGGTAGGCTTTTCAACATTTCATGCAGCTGCTGAGAGCTTTCCTTCTGGGACTGACCAAACTCTCACCACGTGGTTGCCTGGTGATGCTGTCATTTTCTTGGCAGTGAAGGACTCCAGCTGAAGCCACTGCTGCAGGTGACTTCAGCTCCCTCAACGTGCAGATGGTGCCACATGAAGCACACAGCTCTGGGCCAGGGGCGCCAAGTACAGTCATTTAACTGAACAATGTACAACTCTATTTTTACTTTTCCAGCAGAGCAAAGACTCAAAAATTCATCCTCATAACTACATTTCCCAATAGAACACTCCACATTATGAAAACTTTAAGTATGTAATTATTTTGTTAAGAGTGAAAGTGCTCGAAATCCAGACTTTAGGAGAAGATACAGAGCACCAAGAATGTAAGTCCAAAGCCCATAGCATTTCACTCAGCAGTTTGTAGTGGTTGAAGCCACACCCAAAGCAAGAACCATAGTGAGCTGATGGATATTTTACAGGAAAACTTCAGGTTATGAGTGTGATAGTTCTGGGAGCAAGACTGGCATCCTTGGCTGGATGGGCAAGCACACGCCTCACAGGCGGCTAGGCCTCTTGACTCGCGGTGCGGAGGGGGGACGTGTGGAGACAACCAGGGTGTCTCCAGCGTCTTCAGGACACCTCTGTCGTGATGGAGCCTGAAGGAATTAGCAGGCAATGTATGCTGATCCCACACAAAGGCTGTTACAGAACTCGTCCAGCCCCAGAAAGAGGGGATGCAAAACAGGTCATTGTCATACTGCTGGGAAGACACTCAGCATTTGCTAGGATCACCAGAGGGGTGCGGCTTGCTTTTAACAGGCTTTGGTTTTATGATAGACATGAAAACTGTCATTCCACAGACAAGAAGAGACGTGTGTATAAGATTAAAGGCTGAGCAGGTTTAGGACAAATTCACACACACAGTGACAGTCTTCAGAGATATAGCTTTAATAATTAGAGACTTGAAAGCAGGTTGAACAAAACACTCATGACACTCATTCCATTGTCAAGAAATTTAATATGGCACCAGGAGATTTGCATAATTGACCTGTTTGGCTTTCTGCGACAAGCTCGGTGTCCTGTTGCAGAAGCTGAGCATTGACAGGGGACAGAGGCATAAACTGCAGCGCTTGATAAAACAGAGCCCAGTATTCTGAGGTTAGTGAAGAAAACACAAAAGACTTGACAGATGCACTCCCAGATCGCATCTCACAGTCATTCAGGGTTTAAGGCAAGGCATTTTCATGTGGAGTCTCACCTTTTCTTGTCCCAGTCATGCATCTTAGAGTTCCTTGGCTAAGTCTGCAGGTAGGAGAAGCGGTAGGCTTGATTTGCATCAATAAAAGCAGCGATCTGTGCTGGCCATGCTAACCCTGTTGGCTGTTAGGGGGTAGGGGCACTCTGTAAAGGGGAGTCACTGGGACAGTGTAGGATCAGCCTTCAGAGCCTGCTGCCTGACCCTAGAGGAGGAGCCTGCACACATACTGCTGTTTTAGTTCACGAGCAGCTGTCGAAGCCTGTTAGCCATCCTGGTTACCTGCTTGTGCCAGACAGAACTTCCTGTCCCAGGTAAGCACCTAATTTTTTAAGTCTTAGTTCCTGTCACAGGCCCACTTGGGTTCAGGGCTTCTCCACTGCCCCGTCTCTGGGAGGTACGCATCAGGTGGTAGCCAGTGGCTGTGTTCAGAGCGGGTTTGGGCAAGACAGCTCACAGTTGCGGGGGACCAGGCCTTCTCCGGGGGTGGCTGTGGTCAGTGGCAGCAGGGTCTGGTTGGGGTTGAGGTCGGTGTCAGGGACTCCTTCCTGGTGGCTACAAGGTGTCCTTGCTACAGCTTTCCTGAAAGAACAATGTGGTCTTTGAATCCTTGGCGGAACGGATGGGCCTTTCCTGCTCTGCAGCCCAGTCTGTCTCATAGCCCATCCCAGACAGAGCACTCAAGGCCTCAGCCCCCTGTTGTGGTTCCCCTCCTTGGGGTCTAAAGATCCAAATGCCACGAGTGGTTCTCCCATACGTGACGGGAAGACAGAGCAGCAGCGCATTCACTCGACTCCCAGGTTGTGCTGAGAGGGAGGAGGGCTGGAGAGAGGGAGGCTGTGTGTGCTGAAGTACAGAGGATCAGCTATAAATGCCCAGGCTTTGGTGGCAACAGTTCGGGGGTCTGCTGGCAGCCACGTAACCCACACACTTTAACGCACTCATTTGAGTGCTGCAGACCCCACCCTGGTTGGTAGCACACACAGTGATGAATCCCTGCCTTTGCCTTCTGTATCAGCTATTTGGGAGCCAGGGCTGGACAACTCTGCCTCCGTGGGGAGACAGGGAGCCTCTAGGGAGCCTCTGCCTGCAACTTCCGTGCCATAGCCCAGTCCCTGCCAGGGTTTAGTTCAGTAAGCCACTCCCCCTGACCCCTCCGGCAGGTGCTGCAGGTGAGGCATCCAGCCAGGAGCTACCTGGAGGGTTCCCCACCTGTCCAGGTTTCCTGCTCTCCTCAAAGTAGTGACTGGCTGAGTGCTCTGTACAGGGGGTGGGGTGGCCGTGGGGGCCCATCTAACAGACAGCTCCCACCGGTGAGCCCCTCCCAATCTTGCCTCCCTTCTTCAGTCTCCTTTAAGGGCTGGGTCCAGATGCCCCTTGATCTGCAGCCTCAGCAACAAGCCATGGGATTCCCCTCGCAGGGTTGCAGGTAAAGGAAACTGCTCTGGGGCTAAGAGGGAGCAAGTGGGGTCCATGCTGAATGGGTCCCTTGAAAGATCCACCGGATGTGGCAGGTGCCCTGTCCCTGGCTCCAGCCCTACTTTCTTTGCCCAGCTGCGGCCACGTACCCACGCCTTCCTCCAGCTCTGCATCATCCGGTCGTGCTCCCCAGCCACAGCCCTCCAGGCGGAAAGCTCTCTGCTCCACTTCTCCTGGTGGGCCACTTCTGGAAGACAAGCAGGGTTCCCAGGCCATAGCTCTGCGGGCCTTTATGGCACCCTTGATGCCCACTGGCCACCTTTCTCAGTGGAAAGCCAATAAATCCCAAACCCAAAATGCCACCGTGCAAGCATGCTTTCCAGCATGTTTTTTTCGACTGCCATTGTAAATAGTGAAAAATCACCTCCTAAAAGGGTTCCAGTGGGCATGGGAATCACTTACCAGGTCTCATCACAGCAACCTGCACCTTCGAAGTCTTGTTCCCTGCTGAGGAGATGACAGAGCAGCGATACTCGGTGCTTTCCCTGATGGCGTCCTGCAGCCAGCTGAGCGCGTGGGCGCTGCCATCGGGCAGTGCATGGGTCTGCACAGGGACACAGGTCTCCAGAGCTCGCCCATTCTTCTCCCAGACAATGCGAATGTCTGCAGGACCTGGGGGCACAGACTGTTTCTACCTCTGAGTCCACATTTAGAACACAAAGAAGCTACCCCACGAGGGGGTAGGGGGGTTACTTCTGTTGTCCCAGCTGGACCTGAAGTGACTTGGGACAGCTTCCAATTCAGTCCCTGGGACTCCCCTGGAGGTGGCTTCCCCATGGCCAGCGGGAGCCTTGGCCTTGGCCCCTGTCCTGTGGACTTTCTGCTCTTTGACCTTAATTACCATTTTTCAAAATACACCTGTGTGGCCTGTGTCCCCTAGGACCCCCTTCCTCACAGCGCTGTGCTGGTTTCCTGCAGAATGCTTCTGGGCTTTGGAACAGCATCCCACCTCACCCTGGCCTTGCTGCCACACACATGTCCTGTGACCACATGGACAGAGACATCCCAAAGGCTCTGCCATCACCAGGGCCACAGCACAGAGAGGCCCAGAGCTTGGCCAGCTGTGTGTGGAGGGGGCTGGGCCAGAGTGGGGACCACGAGGGCCTGTCTTTCCAATTGAAACACTGGAACCTGTGGCAGGCTTGGAGGGGAGCACATGTCACAGGCTGGAGGGCTCAGACCCTGGCGGGGGCGGGGCCAGGCCCTGCAGAATTACACTAGGACCGCCAAGTGCAGCACATCCAGGGTGGGCTTCCAGCCTTGAGCATGGACCCTGGGCCTGACACTGGCCACTTCTACCCCAAACCTCTGTTACTTTTCTTTGGGCTTTTGAGCTTAATTACTTATTGAAAAAAGTAGAGAGGCCAATTACTTCACACATTCTCAGTCTATTGCACCCTGCCAGAGTGGAGCCTGGCCAGCCTCAGCTTGTCTGTGGGAGACAAGGAGGGTGGGTGAGGCAGGGACGTTCCCCTGTGGCCCAGGCTGCCTTGCCTGGGGAGGCCAGCCTCCTCCCAGGGCAAGAAGGCTACGTGGCCGACCCTGAGGGCTAACCCTAGACTCCGTATTTGTTCCAGGTGGTTGGGGTGGGGTTGTGAAAACCAGAGTGTTGGGGGTGGGGTGGGGGGGTGCCCACAAGCAAGGTCTGGTCATCAGGTCACCTCCCGGCTTTCCTTGCTTGTGAAGTCTGTTGGCCCTCCAGGGGCTGCTGGCCATGTTGGGACAGGCTCAACTCCCTGTCCCTTACTGAAGGAAAAACAAGCACATTCACTTTGATCTGCTTCACACACTGGCTTCCATTCAAATGCAGAAAGGGTTGGGGGGGCGGGGCGTGCTCCCACTAAGCTCCAGCCCCAGAGGTGCAGACCCTGGAGCTGAGCTGGGATGGTGGGGAGGGCCAGGCCAGGCCCTGGAGGGCAGGTGAGGGGGTGCAGGTGCTCTTCTGTCTCCGAAGCTCCTGCTTACAGTGGGGCAGGGGAGGCCGGCCAGCCTACGCTGCTGCTTCCGTCTCCCACAGGTGCAGCCTGCATCAGGCCAGGCACCCCAGCAGCATGGACCGGGGTGACACCCTCCCACCTCTTGCCTAGCGACCTGGCTCCCTGATCAGCACCTGCCCTTCCTCAAGGGCCACCAAGGCCCCCAAGTGGGCCACGGGCCACCTAGACCAGCGCCGGGCATGGCCTCTGCTTGACCATGACACCTCATAAGAATCGGTCTTTAGAAGTTAGATTTGGCCTAGATGCCCATCAACCTTGGAATGACAAAATGAAGTGTGGCTTCGTGGAGAATGTTCAGCAGTGAAAAGGAAGGAGTTCAGAACACTGAGCAGGAAAAACAAATTCCAGAGCCAAGAGAGTCCAAAGTACCTGCACACACAGAAAAGCTGGCCTTGTTCTCAGGTGTGGGGGAGGGGTGCGTCCAGACACAGGTATTAAATGGTGTGGGAGGACCCACGCTTCCCTCCCTGGGCAGGACAGTGATGGCCAGAGAGCCTTTCATTTCTGTGGCACATGCTGGATTTTTGAAAAGAAGAGATAGCCAGTTTAATGAAGGTGACTTTAGTAATGCATTTTCCCTGCTTTACTGACTGGCATCTGCTCACCTTTGTCCAGTCTCTTGGTCAACAATTCCCCACTGTCCAGGATCATCAGAGAATGCTCCTCCCAAGGACTTGACCAAGCTCAGACTCTTTAGCTGGACAATCCTAGGAATGAGTCCCAAGGCAATGATGGGCCCAGTGAAGCCCTGTTTCTATCAGTGAGGAGTTGGGAAATGTCCAAGAAGGGGGCCGCAAGTCACTCATTCCAAGTGCCATCGAAGAATATTCAGCAACACAGAAAAACACTGTTACGTGAAAGAATAGATATGTGTATATATGTACACACCCGTGTATACATGTGTGAACGCAGATACAGTCTTGACCTAAAAATGGCTGGGATGCTGGTGGTAACTGCCTCTGGATAGTTAAATTTGGGATTGTTTAAATTTTTTCTTTATACTTCCCTGGAGTTTCCAACCTTACAACAAACAAGCATTGCTTTTATAATAATAATTTTTTATAAAAGTGTTATTTTGAAGGAAACATTGCATAAACTCAAGGAAATTTGGAAGGTGCTCCACAACTGTTTTGCCTGGCGGCCCATCTGGCCCTGGCCTGGTAGACAAGCCCTTGTGAACAGGTTTGGTTTTTGTGCATAATTAAGACAAAAAAAAAAAAAATCTTAACACTCTATAATTTGTTTTTTCCCCACTCAAAATGTTTTGGACTCTAACCACAGATAACCCCATATATCTATCTACAAATATAAGTACATATTACATATCTCTATATACATCTAGGTGCCCATCAACTAGATAGATATTCCCTTCCCCACCTGATGGGCATCCAGGCAAAATCTCATTTTAAGAAACAGATTTTTTTGAGCTGTTAAGATCAAGTAACAACACTTTTCTTTGAACAGAGAGTGAAGTGAGTTCCATAAAAGCCCAGTCTCCTCCCTCATGTGACCTGCACCAGGAACCACCCAGGGGACTGGAGTCACTGAGTCACAGGAGCCTCTGGAAGGTTCTCCTGACCAAGCCCTTGAGACTAAGCATCTGGGTGGCCTGAGCTGAATTGGATTCATCACCCAACACCCCATCATGGGACCACTGACAGCAAAACCCTCAAAGCTCCGCCCTCTGGGGTGTGAGTAGAAACAGACACCTGTGCTTACCACCGCTAACATGAGGCGTCAGTAAATGCTATTTCAGTATGTGCTTGATCATCATAAGACATTAAAGATGTTAAAGACGTACTTACGTTCAGTGTATTCCTTTTTAAACTATCCAACTCTTTCTGAATGCATGAGAGAGAGGGAAAGTGAGAGTTACCATCAGTGTGCAGGGCCACCCCATCAGCACCGCACCCTCAGCAGGACGGGGCAGCAGCTGCAAACCCAAGTCTGTCCCATGGAGGCCTGCTGGGGAGCTCCTGGAATCCTGGGCCCCCAATGGGGAGCTGTCTTCCATCTCCCAGCAGGGCCCCCTGAAAACACCACTGGTTTCTTGTTTGGGCCAGTGCTCCAAGCCCCCTAACCATCCAACCCTGTTGCCTCAAGAGAGCAGCCAGGCTGGCCTCTGTGGGGTGGGGACAAGAGGCTAGTCTGATGCTGTGAGGCTGCCACCAACCTGGATGTGCCTTGGCTCTTCCCAGTGGCTAGCCAGGTGACGCTGGTCGCACTCTCAAAGAAGGGAAGTTGTCGTGGCTTAGAAGGATCTAGGGTAGAGGTCCTGAGGACGGATGCTTCCCCCCGGCCCTGCCTGTCACTGCAACCCAGTACTTTTAGAGAATTAGCTTAAGTTGGAGGCAAATAAACTTTAACTGCTGTGGCAGATGCCGTAGGTAACAATCTTCCTCCTGCAGCTGGGACTGTCGTGAGATGACTGATCACCTTGGTATAAGCAAGGGCCAGGTGTATCCACCAGGGCTGGGTTTATTACAGCTACTCAGGAGTCGGGGGAGGCTGCCGGCGACCTGGGCTCCAGCACTCACCTCAGCCTGTTGCTGGGGCACCTCCCACCTGCTCACCCCCACCCCAAGCCTCTAACAGGGCCAGCTGGTGCCAGGACCACCATGGCTTCAGAGCTTTGTGGATGTGATCACAAAATGTGGAGCTCATTCTACTCTGTGACAAACCAGGTGCCCCCTGAGCAGTGGCCTTGCCCTGAGGAAGGCCTGGAGGGGTGGTGAGGCATCCACCCAGTGACTGAGTTGCTCAGGCCCATCCTGACAAGTGCCCCCACTGCCATCCCCTGCAGCACTCCTCTGTGTCCTCCCGCCATCCCCATGCTTGTGGCCCACTCTGACCTCAGGACTGGCTGCCTCAGGGCCAGCCCATCTCCCAAACTCACATCCAGGTGGCCTTCCTGCAGCTAATGGGGCAGCCGGGCACATCCCCAGAGGGGCCATTCTCTCCACACGGTGCTGGCCGCTGGCCATCATGTCTTTCATGATGGGACTCCTGGCTTGTCCCTGCCCGTTCCTGCTGCCCGGGCCTCACCCTGACTGCCGCTCCCAGCCTCTTTTCCTGAGGATCCCACTGCTTCCCTGGCCCATCTCTGTGCTCTCTCCTTGAGGCAGGGTCTTTTCTAATCCTGGCCCTGGCCCCTCCTTCCTCCCAGACTCTGGGGACCCTTCTGAGGACAAAGACAGTGCAGCTGGGGTATGCCCCGAGGCCCTGTTGGTCATCCTTTCTGTCCTCTGTCGAAGTCAGAGAGTAGCCAGGGGTCCCAAGAGGAGGGAGGAGAGAGTGAGACCCCTGCCACACAGGTAGCAATTCTGACAGCTCCCTTCTCTGAGTCCTCATCTCCCTGACAGTCACCAGGCTCACGCAGCCTAACGTTTCACTCAGGTATGCTCTGATCACTCAGGGCAATGGACCAGCCCCAGTGCTTCTGGAAAGCACCAGTTTATGCCTGCCACTTACTGGCCAAGTCACCTTATCAATGTGGGCAGGAATTCTGAACTTCTCTGCAAAAGCATCTGAGCAAGTACCACTGAGGCACCTGCAGGCATTGCCTGGCTCCATGGGGGCCTGTGGGAAGGCACTACTGAGGCACTGAGGGCATTTCCAGACCCCAGGTAACCAGACAGCTGTGCTGTAAAGGCATGTGGAATTATCACAGATAACAGAAGACGTGGACAGCTTCTGGTGAAGCTGCCTCATCTAACATGCTAAGGACCTCAGATCACAGGGAGTTGATAGCACTGCCTTGTCCTGTCCAGCAAGGGTGGCCCAACACACAAGGTCAACTAATTCCCAAGACGGCCATGGCCTTTCAGGAGAGTCTGAAACAAAGTGAAATGTCACAGAGCAGCTGGAACACACACTTGTGTGCCAACAGGCCACTGTGGCCGCTAGGAACGGGGGCCCTCTCCGGATACCTGGGCCTCTCAGAGAGGCCCAAGGGCACCTGCTGCTGCTGCCCTCTGATCCCAGTGCTTCCAAGGGCTCTGATTTCTAACACTGTAGTTAAAACATAAAAGGCCATCCCAAATCCAAATATCCAAATGCTGCCCAAAGTATGGGGGAACCATTATTAGCTTTGAAAATGACACGGGTCTAAACTTGACATGGAAGATAGTCCTGGCAGCAGTGAAGGCAGGGCCCTGACAGGGTAAAGACTACACTTTGGTTAAAAAATTATATCGATCTATTTCTGTGTGTGCACACTAATGTACAAGTGCATGATTTGTATCTGCATGTATTCACAACCCATCCACCATTCATCTCTCTCGATCCTTGTTTGTATGCCAGATGCGCTATGTGCTAGCACACGGGTGGTGGGGTTATTTTTTCACCCATCTGTATTCCCAGTGATCCATGAGGAACTTGGGTTCATCAGTTCAGAGGCGCAGAGCTTGGCCACATGCTAACTTTATTCCCCCAGCTCCGGAACGCTTTCCTCTGCTTGTCAATACACATGCTCCTCCACTTTCCACGGGGTTGCATCCCAGTAAACCCACTGTGAGTTGAAATGATCCTAAGTCAACTGTGTGTGTGTGTGTGTGTGTGTGTGTATGGTTGTGTATGTGTGGACATGATGGTGTGTGTGGTGTGGTGTGGGTAACATGCATGTGTCCGGTGTGTATGTGCTTTGGTGTGTGCAGTATGTGTGGTGGTGTGTGCATGTCAACAGTGGTAGGATTGGTGTTTGTGTGATGTGTGTGATATGCTGTGCTGTGTGTGGTGCATGTGTGAGTGGCTGTGTTTGGTATGGTGTGTATGGGGGTGGCTGTGTTTTAGGTGTAGTGTAGTGTGTGTGTGGTGTGTGTTGGTAAGTGTGCACATGTGCAATGAGTGTGCATGGTCTGTGTGTATGGTGTTTGATGTGTGTGTGGTATGATTTGGTGTATGTGATGTTTTGTGCTGTGCATTTATTGTGTGCATGCACATGGTACGTGTTTGTTGTGTGGTGGACATGATTGTGTTTGTGGTGTGGCGTGCGTGTCTGTTATGTGGTGTGTGTGTTATGGTACATGTATCATGTGTGGTGCATATTGTGATGTATCTGTATGTATGTGGTGTATCTGTGTATGTGTGGTGTGTGGTGTGTGTGGCGTGTATGGTTGGTGTGTGGTGTGTGTGGTATGTAGGTGTGTGGTGTGTGGTTGTGTGTGGTGTGTATGGAGGGGGTACGGTATAGTGTGTGTGATGCTGGTGTGTAGTGTGTGGTTGTGTATGGTGTGTATGGAGGGGGTACGGTGTAGTGTGTGTGATGCTGGTGTATGGTGTGTGGTTGTGTATGTGTGGTGTGTATGGAGGGAGTATGGTGTGTGTGTGATGCTGGTGTGTGGTGTGTGGTTTGTGTGTGTGTGTGGTGTGTATGGTGGGGTATGGTGTAGTATGTGTGATGCTGGTGTGTGGTGTGTGTGTGATATATGTGGCATGTGGTGTGAGGGGGTGTGGTGCTGGTGTGTGGTATGCAGGGTGTGATATGTCTGCTGTGTGGTCTGTGTAGTGTGTGTGGTATGTGTGTCTGGGATGTGTGTGCTGGGAGTACGGTGTGTGGCATGTGTGCAGTATGTGTCATGCTCATGTGTGGTGTGTGTGTCTGGTGTGTGGTATGTGGCTGGCATAGTCTGTGGCTAGTGTGTGTGTGGGGTGTGGTGTGTCTGTGGGGTGTGGTTGTGGGGGGTGTGATGTGTGTGTGGGGTGGGGTGTGTATGAGGGATGGTATCTGGGGTGGGGTGTGGCATGTGTGGGGCTGTGGTGTGGTGTCTGGGGTGTGGTGTGTCAGATGTTTGTGTGGGGTGTGGCATGTGGGGTGTGTGGTGTGTCTGGGGTGTGGTGTGTATCGGGTGGTGTGTGGTGTGTGGGGTATGGTGTGTATCTGGGGTAGGGTGTGTATCTGGGGTGGGGTGTGGTGTGTGTTGGGGGTATGTGTATGTCTGGGGTGGGGTGTGTGGAGTGTGTCTGGGGTGTGTGGGGTGTGTCTGGGGTGTGTCTGGGGTGAGTGTGGGGTGTGGTGTGTGTCGGGGGTTTGGCGTGTGTCAGGGGTGTCTATGTGGTGTGTGTGGGGTGTGGTGTGTGTCTGGGGTGTGGTGTGTGGGGTATGTGGTGTGTGGGGTGTGGGTGTGTGTCTAGGGTGTGGTGTGTGGGGTGTGGTGTGTGTGGGGTGTGGGTGGTGTGTCTAGGGTGTGGTGTGGGGTGGGTGTGGTGTGTGTGGGGTGTGGTGTGTGTCAGGGGTGTGGGTGTGTGTCGGGGGGTGTGTCTGGGGGTGTGGTGTGTGGGGTGGGTGTGTGTGTGTCTGGGGGTGGTGTGTGTGTCTGGGGTGTGTGTTGGGGGTGTGATGTGTGTGTCCCTGCCCGTCCTTCACAGCTGGTAACCAGGGTGACTGACGACAGTAAACGTGCATTGCTAGTTGCATGACAAAGCTTAGACAGTGGTCCATCCCAGGGCCAGTACAGTGCAGGATGGCTGTGCAGCAGCTGTGAATGCTCTCAAGGCCGCTGTCCCTCCCGTGCGACCACGGTGCACACTGAGGCAGTCGGCTGCTCCCAGCTGCTCCAGGCCCTGCCGGTGCACTCAGTCCCCCAGGACTCAGGATCATAGGGCGAGCGGCTCCCAGGGCATGGGCCCCAAGGAAGTGCAGTCCTGACCTGCGACCCCTCTTGTCACTGAGCCCAGGGTACCACGCTTGGGGTGACACCCTGTGCTGTCTCTGCTGGGCACTGCAAAGGCATGACACCCCAGGCGTGTTATAACCTCCCTTCTCAGGACCGTCCCATCCTGTCCCAGGGACAAGGCTGGCCTGTGCCAGGGCCATCAGTGGATCTTTCCGTATCATCTTCCACTGATAATTCCACTTCCCAGAGGCGAGAACTGTGTGGTGAAGGGACGAAATGTGTCCAGGTGGAGAGGGGCACTGGCCGCCAATCTCCCACCCCAGCTCCTGACACGGGCTCACAGGTGTGGCCCTGTCCCTCCCTTGGATGGGCAGCGAGGCCCCTGGGTGCAGGATAGGGTGGGCTTCCACCCCACCACCAGGCCTCAAGCTCTCCCATCCCCAGGACATGCCTCTCCGCCCTACTCTGCCCACATGGCCACATCACCTCCACCGCACCCCACGTTGGGCCCTTGTGCCCTGGCAGCCTCTGCACACACCACGGGCTGTTTTCCTCTGTGCAGACCCACCCTGATCCCCCATGAGGAAGCGCTTTGGCCTCAGAGGGCCCTCACCTCTCCTGGATGGCCGAGTCCCTGGGGTCACTTTCTGAGCACTGGCCAAGAGTGTGTTGGGGCAGGTGGGGACATCTCCTGGGTGACACATGAGTCTCCACCAGCTCTGGGGCAGACTCAGTCCCCAAGTGCGACCCTGACCAACTGACCTTCCATCGGTCAGCCGTCTCTGGGGGGTGAGACGCTCCCCAACACACAGGGTCACCCAGCAGAGCTACAGGCACCAGGACGCAGCATGGTGAACTGAAGATGCCACCAATGTCCTCTAAGCTTCATATTCCAAAGACACTTTGCTGGCCCTTTAATCAGACAGCCCCCAAACCACTGTGACAGCTACCACGAAAACAGCCATTACAGGAAAGAAAAACCCAGCCAAGTTCCAAAGCAGCCCTGCCCTGGGTGGCTGGGAGAGGACACAGGAGGAAGCGGTAGGCCTGTGCCCTGAGTGTACTGTACTGCAACCTCCAGGCCCTGGGCCTCACCTGGAATGGCTCATTCCTGGCCCACAAGGCAGAAAACAGCACTCACTCTCCTCAGGAAAGGATCTCTGGACTTGCAAGCCACACTGTGACCTCTGCCGCAGGAAGCATCCACAGGCCCCAACAGAACCCCGCAGCCTACTCGGGAAATTCACAACCACAGCCCCTCTGAGTTCACGGCATGCCCAGGACGCCCTGGCTTTGGCCCACCCTTGAAAAGGCCGAAGCCACTCTCTCCTAAGCTGGTCCTCCCTGGGGAGGTCTCACAGCCCTCGCAGGCTGTGGCCTCAGTGGAACAAGGGAATGGGAATGTCCCAGATGGGGTCAAATGCCTCTGGAGAGAAAGTAAAGACCATGTGAAAAGGGGGTGGGGTCCATCCTGAGCACTGGGAAGGTACCGCGCTCCTCTCTCAGCTCCCCTACCCTCCACACACTGCTCCTGGCCACGCTGCTGCAAGCCCACGGCTACATTCCCATATCCATCTGTGGCCGCCAGCTTTGTTAGGTCCGGCCATGGGAGGCATTGACAGGAGAAGGAAGGTGGAAGGAGAAACGTTTTTGTGGCTTCTCGTAGGGCCTCCAGCAGTGGTGAAGGCAGTGTGACGGGCAGGGCGAGGCTGCAGATCGCACGGCCACAGCCTCGGTGGCACAGCAAGCGAGACTGAGTAAGTGTTTGACACTTCACTCCTCCTGCCCATGGCTGGTAATGGAAACCTCACCTTCCCACTTTGTTCTCAGCCCTTCTATCACCTTTGTAACCAATTCCCTGTGGTTGAAATACCTGGGTGGTTTCTGTTGCTGTAACAGTGATGTTCCTTCTCCCTGGGCCCCCATCTTTCATTCCCTGCTGACCCCAGGGGCTTGTGTGTCTGCCCGCCTAGCTGCAGGGGGCACACCTGGAGCCTCACATTTAAAATTGTAACAGCAGCCGGGCGTGGTGGCTCACGCCTGTAATCCCAGCACTTTGGGAGGCCGAGGCCGGTGGATCCCCTGAGGTCAGGAGTTAGAGACCAGCCTGGCCAAGATGGTGAAACTCTGTCTCTACTAAAAATACAAAAATTAGCCAGGCATGGTGAGGTGTGCCTGTAGTCCCAGCTACTAGGGGGGCTGAGGCAGGAGGATCGCTTGATCCTGGGAGGTGGAAGTTGCAGTGAGCCAAGATCATGCCACTGCACTCCAGCCTGGGCAGCAGAGCAAGACTCCGCCTCAATGATAAATAAATAAACAAACAAACAACATCTCCTGACCATACGGCCTGCCTGCATCTGCTGGCAAAGGAGCCCTGGGTCCACGGCCAGTTCATAGAGACCCATTGCTCGCTTCCCAGCCTCCCCACCAAGGAGGAGCTTCCTGGGTCTGCCTGAAGGACTCCCGTGCTGCCACAGGACACAGGCAGTCCTCCGGGATGCCTGCACCAAGGCAAACCACCTGGCCGAGGAGCACCATTCACCTGTGAGAGTGGCCACAGGCGGCTGGGCACAGGCTTGGTCCGTGGCACCCAGTGGAGGGGAGGAACCACACCAGCCAGCCCTGCAAAGCTCCGTCTCCACAGCGCTCCACGCTCACTGGCAGCTTCTCCTGTCCAGTGCTGGCTGCCAAGAGACATTCCGGGCTCAGCAGAGATGGGCCACCTGGGGCTCTCAGAGCTTGTGTAACAGGAGAGGGCAGCACCTTAAAACTCTCAGGAGCTACTGACAGTGTGTTTAACATGTTTTAAAAGAGAGCGATTGGGTTTGCTTTTCCTCTTCATTAACTTCATTCCTCCCCGTGGGCAGGCTCTAGCACGCCACTTCCTTTCTTTCTGTATCTACTGATCAGTCAGATGACAACACAGGGGCCACCAGGGTGACCGTGCACTGCCTGAAGCACAGGATACATCTCTGAAGTGTGGTTCTGGACATTCTATTATCTTTCAAGAGCAGACATCCCATCCGAATATTTTCCAATCCAGGGCAAATGGCTCCAGTGACCCAGAGGAGTACACTAGACTCTCAGTCTTTTCTGTTTTTATTTTATGATGATGATTATTTTTGAGACAGGGTCTTGCTCTGTGGCCCAGGCTAGAGTGCAGTGGCACCATCATACCTCCCTGTAACCTCAAACTCCCGGGCTCAAACAATCCTCAAGGCACGTGCCACCAAGCCTGGTTGGTTTTTTTCACATTTTTTGGTAGAGATCAGGTCTCGCTATATTGCTCAAGTTGGTGTGAAACTCCTGGCTTCAAGCGATCCTCCTGCCCTGGCTTCCCAGAGCAGGGGGATTATGCCCACCCATCTTTTCTGCTTTTAAAAACCATGAAGCAAGTCATTAAAGCAACTCCCATTCTGGAAGCTCTTAATTTTTAAAAATTTCCAAATACCACATATATCAACCTCCAAATTGTTAGCAGAAACAGAAGCACTCTGGCTCTGGAGGCTGAGGCAGGAGGACGGCTTAAGCCCAGGAGGCAGGGGCTGCAGTGAGCTATGACTGTGTCACTGCACACCAGCCTGGGTGACAGAGGGAGACCCTGTCTCTTAAATATATATATATATATATATATATATTTTTTTTTTTTTTTTTTTTTTTTTTTAAGGGATAAGCAATCCTATATACCATGGGTTGGGAAACTGGGGCCTTTGGGGCAAATCTGGCCCACCGTGGATTTTTTTTTTTTTTTTTTGAGACAGAGTCTAGCTCTGTGCCCCAGGCTGGAGTGCAGTGGCCGGATCTCAGCTCACTGCAAGCTCTGCCTCCCGGGTTCACGCCATTCTCCTGCCTCAGCCTCCTGAGTAGCTGGGACTATAGGCGCCCGCCACCTCGCCCGGCTAGTTTTTTGTATTTTTTAGTAGAGACGGGGTTTCACTGTGTTCGCCAGGATGGTCTCGATCTCCTGACCTCGTGATCCACCCATTTCGGCCTCCCAAAGTGCTGGGATTACAGGCTTGAGCCACCGTGCCTGGCCCCACCGTGGATTTTTATAAATAAAGTTTTATTGGCACACAGCCCTGTCCACTCATTGTGTATTGACTGGCTGCTTTTACAATACAACAGCAGAGCAGAGTGGCTGTGACAGAGCCTGCGGCCCACAAAGCCTAAATATTTAGCCCTTTACGGAAAACACTGGTTGGCCCCTGTATACTAGAAGTGGTTTCACACTGACTGTCTACACTTTCCCTCGGGATGGACCCACAATGAAAGCGTGAAATGGCTCAACCCAAGGGACGCAGCCAGGACAGATAAAGAAGGCAAAGGAACACACGTGGAGGGATGTGGAGGATGCCCCCGCCTGCCCCCCACCTGTGGGAGGAGACAGATGGACAGGGCACAGGGGACAGAGAGGGCCCAACTCACCTGTCGCCTGGCAGAAGAGGTGGAAGGTCCCCAGGGCTTGCACGTGCTGTGCCTGGTCACTCAGGAAGGGCGGCAGCAAGGAGACCTTCGAGCTGCTGTCGGGCCCCGCACCCGAGGCTGGCCAGGGGGTCCAGGGGGAGGAAGGCCTCCTGTCCCCCGCATGGCCCAGACAGGACAGGGAGGAGGAGCCAGGAGGAGGGAGGGGCTTAGGAGACGAGGCTGTGAGACAGAGAGGACAGAAAAGAGAGGGCACTGAGGAAGAAGTCGCCAAGAGCACGTCACAGGCCAGAGAGGGCAAAACACAGCAGGAAACGGACAGAAAAGAGTGAGCCCAGCTGTGCCGCCTGGGCCATGCAGGGGCGGGAGGCTGCACGGCCTCCGCTAAGGAATGTCTTCCCCAAATCAAGGATAGAAGCTTCTCATTTATTTGGGTACTTTCCAAATGTATACAATTCAAAGTAGAAAAATAAAAACAAGGTAAATCTTAGAAAACACAAATGTTTACACCAAAATGGTCAAATCCTATCATGCTGGAAGACGAGACTGTCCACACACGCACACAAACATCCAGAGTTTATTGCTCTTCGCCATGGAAGAAGAAGTCTCTTCCCGATGGGTATTTACAAAGCGGGGAGATGGAGTGTGAAATTCACCAGTGTTGAAGTCGTACCACCCATTCACATCTTCAGGACAGTGGCAGGAACAGCGCCGTGCGCTTGAGGGTGCTGTGGTCGCAGCTCGCGGCCCCGGCCACGGAGGCCCAGTTCTGTTCCAGTGGCGGGCAGCTCAGTGAGGCTGGATGGAAAGTCCGGGCAGGCAGTGGGTATGAAATTGAAGCAAGAAGAGAAAGGAGATGTTCAAGAACCAAAGGCGCCCTTGTGAAGGTTCCATCTGTCTCACAGGAGGTTCTGACCGACAGCTGCGGGCTCCAGATTGTACCGCGCTCCCATCTCAGCTCGGGGCCAGCCTGGCTCCACTCAGCTCACCCAGCCACCTTCCCTTGCTCAAAACCCACCTCACGGACGTGGGAAGGTCCTCCTCTTCAAGAGAGTAAAAGTTAAAAAAAAGAAAAAGTAAAACAAAGTACAGAAAGAAAATCTCTCCAAAAACGACGCTTCCCTCAAGGAATAAAGTTAAAAAAAGAAAAAAGAAAAAGGTGAGTGGGTTCCGGGGAGTGTGCATGTCTACATTTCTAAAAGCAGAAAGAATCCATTTAGCAAAAGGAAGTTTATCCCTGAGAATCTTAAGCAATGTAAGCCATATTTTATGCCAAATATATAACAAAATCTGGAAGATATACATCTTCTTCTAAATATTAAAACATCTGCTTCTGTAATTAAAAAAAAAAATGACCCAAGACATCAACACAATCAAAGCAAAATCCTAAAAAAATAATTAAGTGGAAGAAAAGGTTCGTGCCAATCTGGACAACAGGCGATAAGTTACCAATCTGATAAACTAAAACGTCATTTCCAATCTGGAATTAAATTATCTTTTAGTGGCTGCTACAGGGAGGGGAAGCTGAAGGGATGCTCTTCTCAGCCAACAGAGGTCCAGCCATGTTTCCCCCACTACAGAAAGGGCTCAGGAACTCTGTGCCGCCCCCGGGCCTTCTTCAAGTACTCCGACTGACTGCAGAACACGAGACCGGGATGCAATGCTTGTCATTTTTCCAAAAGGACAAAGAGAAACCAAGTCACAGGCTCAACCCAAGAGAAAATAGACAAGAGGACTGAGGTTGTCTGCACGATGCGGGCTAACCTACGCAGCACTGCACGAGACTCGGATACTGAACAGGAGAAACACAAAACACTCCAGGCCTGGACACGTCGCAGCCGGGGCGCCGGCGGGGACGCACAGCCGGCCTCAGTCTCCATCTGCATCTGAGTCCGCGAACTTCAGCTCACACTTGACGTCGAAGGGCTTGTCCCTGGCGGAAAGGTCGTCGATCCTCTGTGAGTCCTCCCTGTCCGTGGGGACTTTGCTGGTGATGGTGTCTTGCTCAGTCTCATAGCCAGTGTCCAGGGCTGGCTTGGGGTGCTCCCCATTCTGCTGGGAGAAGCTTCCTGGCTCCACTAACGTCTCCTTCAGGCTCTGCTCACGGTCACAAAAATCTGACTTGGGCTTCTTCTTCCCGATCAGCAGGGCCGAGCGGAATTTCAAGCACTGTCTGGGCAGGTATCCCTTATAGCAGTTGTAGAAAAAGAGGCAGAGGAAGAGAACAAAGAAGAAGAGGAAGAGGGACATGAGGAGGCGGTTATCGCTGGACTTAAGATACATGGTTTTCTCCGAGTGGAGCTGGGGGACCGTGTTGATGACAATCTTTGGTTCACAGGATGTGCTGGTGGGCACAGGCTTGGGAGGAAGGGTGATGGCCCCGGAGGAGGTGGCCTGCACGGCTGGGGTCGGGGGAGAAGACCCTTGGGTGGATGCCACCAACACTTTGGTGGCAATCCTACTACCTTCTGTCTGAACAACTGACAAGGTGGGGGCCACCACGGGCTTTGGAACCACCTTCACTTCCAGGACGTGCTTGGCGACTACTTGGAAGACCGTCTTGTTCTTAACCCTCTCCTCTGACAGGCACTGGTACACCCCACTGTCTCCTTCTGATAAGTTGAAGATGAGCAAGTTTTTTCTGCCCATAAGACCGTACTTGGGGCTCTCAGCCTTCAACACGCCATTCTGGAACTTCCAAAACACCCGGGCCAGGTTGGACTTTTGGGAGCATTTCAGTTCCGCTGTGCCACCGTGCTTGAAAAAATGCTGCTGGTAACTTCCTTTACTTTTATCTGGAACATCAAAATAAACGTGCACAGCGTCAACAATCCCCATTTGCTATTTAACAATTTCTTTAAAATACCCACAAGATGATGCAAGAGTTTCACCCACTGGAGCAACATGGAATCTTCCAGAACAACTAAGGAGATAAAGACATGCGTGACCAAAAAGCAAAGATGAGCCCTGGATGACAGCCGATAGGGACAAAGAAATCAGAGGCAGCTCTGAGCAGCAGAAATCGCATTTCTCACCCGTGTCCCAGAAGAAAACGCGCCAGGCCGGGGAGGCTGAGCAGAGGCCAGTTGTGCGCCTAGTGTCACTCTCTGAATCAGACACGAGATGCTTCTGCTAGTGGCTACAAGGAAGGCTGACCTTTCAGTGTATCTCAGCACTCTCCTCCTGCCTAAACTTTTTTTTTTTTTTCTTGAAACAGGGTCTGGTTCTGTTGCCCAGGCTGGAGTGCAGTGGTGCAATCACAGCTCACTGCAGCCTCAACCTCCCCAGTTCAAGGGATCTTCCCACCTCAGTCTCCAGAGTAGCTGGGACTACAGGTGTCTACCTCCAGGTCTGGCTAATTTTTGTATTTTTTGTAGAGACAGGGTCTCACCACATTGCCCAGGGTGGTCCTGAACTCATGAGCTCAAGTGATCCTCCTGCTTCAGACTCCCAAAATGCTGGATTCCAGGCGTGAGCCACTGTGCCCGGCCAGCTTTTCTTTTCTTTTTAGAGTCTGGGTCTCACTTAGTCACCCAGGCTGGAGTGCAGTGGCATGATAAGCTCACCGCAGCCTTGAACCCCTGGGCTCAAGCAATCCTCCTGCCTCAGCCTCCCTAGTAGCTGGGACTACAGGCGTGTACCGCCATGCCCAGCTGTCTAAACTTTTCTTAGTCTGATGACAGCTGTCTTGTCAGGGACAGGAGGACACAGAACCGAGGGTCAAGTCTGCCTTTAGCACCCTGGAAGGTGGCTGCTGGGGAAGGGGCGTCCTGGCCTGATGCCACCCCTCCCTCTGGGCGAGGCGCTATTTCAGACATCCACAGGCGGGTGAATCTCAGGTGGGAGCCCCAGGGGAAACACCACCCCAGCCCTTCCACTGCCTGAGGATTAATCACTCACAGGCTCCTTTCTCCCCATTTGTAACAGACTTAGGTTTTGTTTAATGAGCCCCAAGCTAAGCAGAAAGAAAACAGGACCGTTTTGGAAGGAGACTGCTCCCCAGTAAACAGACACACTCTAAGTGGCTTCAAATACTCTTTTGGCAAGAAAAAAAGACAGAGAAGACCACGAGTCTGCTACAGGACACTTGACCTCTGTTCCAAGTGGAGAAAGAAAAACAAAACACACACAAATGCCACAGAACTGAAGCACCGTGAAATGGTTACAAGACCTCGCCACTCCCACAGGAACCAGGACGTCGAGGAGTCACTCACCCGGGCACAGAGAAGCATCGCCGCTCATCTCCTGAACCAAACCCCTGCAAAACAACCGGCAGTGTTACTCACCCGCACACACGGGGACATCCCCCGGCGGCGCGTCCCACCCCGTACCTGCTGGGGCTCTCAGTCTGGTACAGAGCCACACACGTCGCTGTGGGTGGGCTCCAGGCGCAGTAGGGGTCCCGAGCCAGCACACAGTCCTCGCAGGTGCCGTGCTTCCCACAGAAGGCCAGAGGGGCCTGGACCACGCCCGAGTTAGAGCCAGCATAGACGAACCTCCTGCCCTGCGTGTGTGAGACACAGGAGAACTAGCATCAGGCAAGCAGGCACCAGTGTGTGGGAAGCAGCCAGAGTGCACCATCAGGGCACGCTGCAGTAAGGAGGACAGGTACTCAGAACCAGAGGCGAACAAGGCAGGCCTGCGACCTTCCGGCAGAATACACGCGCTACATCAGGGCTCACTGGGCCTTAGATCCAAATCCCTCTCTCCCCTGTCTGGGCACCCACTGCCCGGGTCCTGCCCTCCAGCAGAGCGCTTCTCTGCATGTGTTTCTCTTAGCCAGTGGAGAGGCTGTTCAGTCCCCACCTCCAGACCGCCTCCACGTAGAGGGGGATGCATGAGCCTGGCACTCCTGGTCATCTTCCCGGCCTCACTACAGGGGAGAAGGGGCTGCAGCCAGAGGCTGAAGCACACCACCTCGAAGCCCAACCTTATCCCTCGAGCCAGAATGTGAGCACCTATGGGCGGGGAGCCTCTTGTGAGGCTCTGGATCCAGCAGGGACCTAACATAACGGGGATGCCAAATGGACGACATGCAAAGGATGAGCAGATCGCGATACATAACATAAAAGAAGGAACAATGCCTTTGCTCTTCACGTGTCTATAAGTAAAAGGGAAGAGCTCCAGAGCAGCCACACCCACAGCAGAGGGCAGGTGAGACTCTCCACCTTCTGGGACACTTGGCTCCCAGGGACACCAGCTTCAGGCCAATCCCATCAGCCCACCTGGCACCAGCAGTGCCCAGCACACAGGCATCCAAGGCTGCTGACTGCTTTTGAATGGAACTCAGCTGGAAGGAGGGTGCCCCACACTGCACCCACCTGAAGCTCAGGGGCATGCAACAGACCTGGAGGTGGCCCGTGGAGTGTGCTGTCTAGCCTCTGCCCAGGGCATCTGCCTCGACAGCCTGGGAACACCTTTTGGTTAACAATACAAGATTCTCAAATTTACACACGACTTAGTGGTTTACAGTCAGATGAAACATGACCTTCATCCTCAGAGGATACGCTGGGAGTCAACTTCAGAGTATGGCTGGAAGATCACAGGCCCTGATGCCAACACAGAAGGCCCCAGGCCACACACCCGGCTGTGCGGGCACAGACCCACCAGAGAAAGGGAAAGCTTCCAAGGATGGAAACTGTGACAATACACAGCAGAGGGAACCTGGCCCGGCACCGGCCTTACAGCAGCAGCAGCAGCAGCAGAGACCTGGGCAGATGAGGCCACGTGCGCACCACGTTTGTGGGCAGGATTGAGGATGATATCTCGGATCACAGTTCGGGCACCACGCAGCTTGTGGAGTGGCGGAAACGTTCTCTGGCAGCAAAGCCAAGCTGGGTAACTTCCAAGGGACAGCTGGTCCTGCTGGGTCCCGTGGGGGACACCTGCAAGGTGGCGTGGACACCATGCAGTGCAGAGCAGGGTGCCCTGGATGGCCAAGCAGGGCATCGAGGGTGGCTGTGGAGGGTGGGGTGGGCTGTGGGAGCAAGGCCCATCCCAAGGGGATCCAGACCACCTCCTGCACCCTGCAGGAGACTCAGCCCCAACTTCCGCTTCTCCCGGATCGGGCTGGGCTGCAGCCCAAATGAAACTGAGCTGTAAAAACTAAACGATGCCACATGGAGACCAAGGGATGACTGTGGAAGGGAAGAGGGGACAGGGAAGGAGGAACTGGCCATCAGGACAGCCAGCTATAACTGCCGCAGGCAGGACCCACTGGTGGATGTGGATGCCAATGGGTGGGAGGAGAACAGGGCATTTCTGTAGCCTCCAAGTCTATCCCTGCAAATAAGCATGAATGACTATGGGGGTTTCCCGCATGCCTCCCCAGGGGGTGGGGCTCACTCTCCCCGACCCGTCAGTGTGGACTACGTGCCCTGACACACTCGGCATGGAAAAAGATGGTGATGACTTGGACCGAATGACCGAGGTCATCGCGCTGGTGTGAGTCATACAGATGCCACATCCCCAGAAAGCGCCTTCTTTGGTGCTCCCGGTAAAACCACGACCCCAAGATAATCACAAGAAAACACCAGACACGCCACAAAACACTGGACCACTCCTCTCCAGGAGTGCTGAGGTCAGGGAGGCAGGAACAGAGCAGAAGCCGAGGAGATGCAGTGTCCAGTGCAACCCGGGGTACTGAGCCAGGAAGGTGGGGGGTGGAAGGTGAGAGGGTCCAGGGTCTGGGGTTCAGGTAACGCACTGCACCATGACAGCACCTTGGCTCAGATAAATGCACACCGGTTATGTGAGACATCACACATGCGGAGCTGGGTGGGGGCGCTCAAGATCCTTCTGCACAATCATCAAAACTCATGCGTAGATTTAAAATTATTTCAAGACAAAAAATTTTTTAAAGGCAAAGAAAAAAACCTGACCAGGCACCTGGCAGCATGAGTGAGGCACACTGAGAGCAAGGCTGTCCTGTGTACTCCTGCCCGTCGACGCCCCCTGCCTCCCACTTCCCTAGGCCTGAGGACTGTCCCAGTGCAGGCAGCTCTCATGCTCCCATCTCGGTCCCTGCTGCTGTGTGTGCACATCGGACCCTGAGGGCAGGTTGGAGTGATGGTGGACGTGATCAGAGGCAACCAAGCTGTCCAAGTGCCTTCCTTGCCCTCTGCCACACTAGCAGCTCAGCATCCCAAGGAGTCCTGGTGAAAATACAGACACAGCCAACTCAGTGGGCTCAGAGAGGGTCAAGCAAACTGCGTCTGCTATGTGCACCCAAGGAGCGGAAAGCAAGGACTTGAGGTATCCGCACACCCACGTTCACAGCAGCACTGTTCACAGGAGCCAGAAGGTGGGAGCAACCGTGTCCATCAAGGGATGAACGCGTACACAAAATGTGGTCTTCACATACGACAGAGGAGTATGCAGCCTTGGAACACCCTGACCCCTGAGACAGCAGGGAGGAACCTCGAGGACAGTATGTTAAGTGAAATAAGCCAGTCACAAGAGGATAAATACCGTGTGATTCCACTTATATAAGGTACCCAGACAGAAACAGAAAGCAGAATGGCGGCTGCCCAGGGCTGGAGCAGGGGAGAATGAAGAGTTTGTATTTCATGGGTAAAAAGCTTCTGTTTGGGAAATGAAAAGCGCCGTGCAGACAGACAGTGGTGATGGCTGCAAAACGACGTGAATGTTCTTAATGCCAATGACGTGCACAATGAAAAATGGTTACGACAGCAAGTTTCATCTGATGTGTATTTACCAAAATAAAAAGCAAAACCTCATGCTTGTCATGGGGGAGAGGAGGTGAGGGTGGAGGAACAGCGCATCTCCCTAGCCGTAGGACGGGGGGAGGGCGTGGCACTGGCCGTTTCTCTGTTTGCTGATCACCCTGAGGGAGCCTGATGGGGAGGGGGGCACAGTCTTCTTACCACTGAACAGCCGTTTCCTGCTGCCATGGCCATGGAGCTGGGCCTTGCACCCCCACCTGGAGGCTACTGGGGCCCAAGGAGAAGGCACAGGACCCCACGGCAGGCAGGATGCATTTCTGCCTGTCCAGGCAACTAAGCCACATCCCCACCAATGGACGCTCCTACAGAGAGAGGCGGGTCGGGTGGTCCAGCAGGACCAGCAAGCGCTTCCCCAAACCCACTGGCTCCTCCTCCTGGGTGCGAGGCTCCCTGTGTGGCCGACTGCCCTGGTGTGGCCACGTGACCGAGTCCTGGGAGATGGCAGGTGGGCACTGACCCGTAACCGCCTCTATGCGGCCCCCCTCTCCCTACCCCCTTCTGCCTTTGAGGATCAGTGCCCATGTGCTCTGGAAGCCTCCACCAGCCCAGGTCCCTAAGTGACCCTTGGAACAGCGTGTCATTCTCACAAATGTCCACACCAGGGGCCCAATCTTTATTCTAACGAGAAGTCCACATTTTAGAGACGTTACAGGTGCCTGCCCAGTCTGGCTGAGGCCACTGAACAGCACGATGGCCCCAAAACAGCTTCTGGGTCCCCTCCTTTCAACAATGAGGCTGGGGCGAGGCCCTGGGGGTGGCCCGTGGCTAAAGCATCAACCCTTCAAATCTCCAGGGCCCCCTGTGTGTGTGCTGGAGACCGAGAGGCTGAACAGATGCCAGAACCCGGTGGCTTCTGACTCCCTCAGGCTACTTCGTTCTCTTTTCCTTTCAGATTTGAGGGAGAACTCTCCATTAGCAGAGGAGGGAAGTCAAAGGGCCCAGGCTCCCAAGCTTTGTGGACACAGGGGAGGGAAGAGGACGGAAGACCTGGAGGGGCGTTTGCAAGTACGCACCTGCTGAGGGTAGGTATCTTACCTGGCCGGACAGGGCCCCCTTCCTCTGCCCGTTGCTCCCGGCTGAGGGAGGAGGGGCCTGACTGGGCCTGGACCCCACAAGGTGGGTGGAGGTCCTGGCAGGAGCCAGGGCCAGAGAGGCAGCTCCCTAAAGGCCAGCGTAGATGCCCACCCAACCCTGCCAAGGGCTGCTTGGGAGTATTGCAGGCCGGACCCGAGAGTCTCAGCCACAGGTGGACACAGCTTTACAGATGAGACGAACCACTTCCCTTGCGGATTTTCCACGCTGACGAGTCAGCTGTATCACTATCATATCCCACAGATGCAGTCTGCACACCCCCCAAGCTCAGGTCACAAAAAAGTGTCTTCATGGAGCACTGCCCACCTCTCCACAGCCTGTAAACCTGCACCAACAACTCAATGACAGTCCAGCAACTTCGAAGAGAAAGTCCCATCTCCCCAGGTCTGCCTTCCTGCCTCCCCCAATTCAGATCCCACAGCTCACGGAATGGCTTTGTGTCAAAGTCTGAAGGTTGGCTCATCCAGGGCAGACTGACAGAGGGGCCTGCCTAGGAGCCCGACCCCAGCTTGGTAACTCTCCTGTCACCTAGAATCAAAGTCACCGAGCCGGGAAGCCCCCCATCCGGCTGCCTGCATCACTTTACCTTCTTTGAAGACAGCAGCAGGGTCTGGACTGGCTCAAAGTCCTGGAAGAGCTGGGTCTCCTCGATGATGTGAACAGCATGCTCGAGGCTGATGGCTTTGTGCAGAGCTCCCCGGTCTGCAGGGTCAAAGCTACAGGTCAGTGACACTAACCCAGACACAGAAACCAAGGACAGTGACCACAGCGGCAAACTTCACACTCTTCACTCTCAAGTCATTCCCTCCACAAGATACTTAGGAAACAATGATGATTTCACATTAGAAACAAAAAAAGGAAAAGCCTTTGGCAAAATAAACACCCGGAAACCCAAGTGTTACGGGTGATTCTGGTTTTTTGCCAAGGAAAATAAACTGTTCCACTGTTGACCCCAATAATCCTCATCGGCTGGGTGCCACATGAGGCAGCTCCCACGCTCCACCAGCCCTTGGGGTGTCACTGGTAAGGGCCCTAGGCAGGCGGTGAGGGCAGGGGGCATGTGAGGTCAGCTGGGAGGCTCCGAGGGCAGGCCACAATGCACTGCCAGCCACTGTGGCTCCTGGCCCCTGTCCCTGTTCCAGAAGTGCTTATTTCAGAGTCCACATGCCAGGGCACATCTAAAACCTGGCTCCTCAGCCAGGAAGCAGGGACGTGGTCTTCTGCCAGCAGTTAGGAAACGCCAGGCTGACGCCTCCTCCCAGGTGGCTCACACCTGCCCCCTGCACGGGCATTGCCCCAACTCCTCAGCGGCCAGTACTCCTCTGCACCAGCGCAGCCCAGCCGCAGGCCAGGACTTGCATTTTTATTTCTAACAAGTATCCCCAGCAGCCTGGTGGTCCCAGATCTGAAACCCACCTGGTGTGGTGACTTCTCAGAAATCTTTTTACGTTCCCACAAACCTCCCGGGTTACCTCGAAGGAGGCAACAGAACTACTTCCAAAAGAATAATTGGATTTGCCCATTTTCCTACCAAAGGACACAGATGTGCTGTCACTGTCAAGCCTGCCAAGCCCTTGGAACCCACCTGTGCTGACAAACATGACATCATAGACAGTCCCATCCAGGGCCTGGGTCCGGTCCACCACGATCTGGGTGTAGTTCACATCTTTCTTGATTAACCTGGGCCTGTTGTCTATTGGGGTCACCGAGTCATCCATCAAAGGGTGGTCTTTGACGAACTGCAGCGTCTTGTCTGGCAAATTCAAGGAGCTGGTGTAGTTGGCTGCCCGTGCCTCACTGTCGATGCACTGCAGGGAGGAAATCCCCCACTGTTAACGTGCTCGTGCTCCCACCACCCAACGGGTGCTTCCACACAAGCAGCCAACGCAGGCGGGCTGCAAAACCTGGAAACCACACAATGCATTCCTTGAAATGAGGGTAGCAGTGAATAACTACTATGCGGAAAGGTGGCCTCTCCCCAGCCGGCAGAGGACACAGTTATAAAACCCATCTGCAAGAGAGAACTGCACTCACGATACATACTCAGGAAAGGAATTTTCATCTATTTGTAAGTGAAAAACACTGATTGAGCTTTTGAAATTGAAAAACAGAACACTGATTTGCAGCTTTCTCATGAAAAGAATGCTAAACATGGCTAAAACCAGGCCAATCTTAAATGGTATAAGAGCCCAAGGGATTATTTTTTCCTGTTCTAGCTCCCTGATGTGTGTAAATCAAAATTTGTGACCACGAGTGAACACATTTTACTAAGCTATGCACAGAAGGAGCCATGATGGTGTCAGGGACAGCGGCCCTTGGGAGGGAGCTGGTGCTGCAGTGAGCTCTGAGGGCCAGGTCACAGCCCCACAGAGGGCTGCGCACATGTCTGCCACACCCATTTCACCATGTGAGGGAGGGAATCGGCCTGGAAATTCCCAATGTCTACATAAAGTTCACTGTATTTAGGAGAAAAAAATGTTTGACTCCTGTTGACTAGTGGATGGTGCAGAGGCCTTTGCCAAGGAATCACGTGTTTCTCTGTAAGAAACTGAAAATGAAACAGGCCTAATTGTTACGCAACATCAATTGTGCAAAACAGCTGCCGAAGCCTTCTTGTTTGTGCAATAGTGTAGCAACGGCTGTTACATAACACGCAAAAGGGAAGAAGGATGAGCTGTGCTCATCGGCCGTCCTAGTCCCAATGCTGAGAGCCTTGGCGTGGCCAAGTACCCAGTCCCTGAGCAGGCCCCACTGTCTGTACCGGATTCCATGCCCTGGGCCTTGAAGGGAAAGCATGGCCCGCCCCCAATGCCCCAGCTCACCGCTCCAGGCCGCGGCTTGGGGACCGGGCCGTTGTAGCGCACCCACTTGGTGTGGGACTGCTCCACCGTGGCGCTCTGCATGTATTTCCCGTGGGAGAAGACCTCCTCGGCTGTGGACAGGTTGTAGGCGCACACTGCCGACAGCCCCACGTTGTTCCTGGGGAGGGGAAAGAGGTGACGGGACCGCCTGGCGGGCATCGAGGCAGCAAGGAGGGAGACTCCACCCAGAGCACTTACAGCTGTGGGGTGAAGAGTGCGTAGAACACAGGCACCTTCAGGCCCGGGGACCTGAGCACGAAGACGTCCCGCAGCACATTGAAGACCAAGCTGCTGTCTGGCCGGGAGCAGATGAGTCGGGCTTTCAGGAAGGAGGTCCATTTCTTCTGCAAGGTCCTCAGGCCGCCCTGGTCCCCCTAAAACCCCAACAACAAGACGTGGTGGGCCGAGAGCAGATCCCCTGTGGGCAGGCACTAAGGTGAGAGGTGCACCCCTCCATGGCCCAGCACAGCGCAGCTGTGCCCGACTGAAACAAAGCTCGGACAACAGGGCACAGAGGTCGCAATTATGTGTGTGGCCCGCAGCACTGCATCCAGGTTCCAGCTTGGATCCCAGAATGCTCCCGGGTTAACACACAAAACAAAAAGGACAAAAGCCCTCTCATTGAAAGCTCCTTTGACCGTCCATGCCTACCTGTGCCCAGCACTCAGTCCTGCAACCGCAGAGGTGCTGCCGCGCTCACACACTTCCAACTGCCAAGGCCCCTGGCATTGTGTGACTTTCCTGACCCAGGACCCATCAATGAACACGCTCTGGGTGGGGCAGGTGGCAGCAGCCTCCTTCCAGGGGACAGCCACTGGCCCTGCAGCCTATCTTGGGCAAATGTATGAACCTTCCTCCATTTGAGGGAACAGAGCCTTCACTTCCTTTCTACCCAAAGTATCTGCTAAAGTGCTTTGAGCCTACTAAGTTCTTTATAAACGCTTTTCAGGGATCCAATGACCAAGACACAATTATAAACTACGCACGACTGTGTGTGGTCTGGAGAGAAATACTGAAATCACAAAACCTGAGTGCAGAAGAATATGAGAGAGAAGCAGCCTTACTTATTTTGGACACAGGGAAAATGTTCCCTCTTCATCTCTGCTGTGTGACTACAGGAGCCCAAATTCTCTTTTTGATAAAAGGACTTCATTTTCCTCCTTGATGTTTTAGCAAAGAATAATTTCCAGTGCATTTCTCATCAGGGGTTTCATTTGGCTTTCAGGTCATGGGCAGCAGGTGAAGCGTTCATGTGTGCCTGGGCGGTAGGCAGGAGCTGTGGGGGCTAAGCTCAAACCACCCCAGTCCAGGAGTTCAAACAATCGTGGGGGGAAAAAAGGGATTAGTGGGGACGACGGCAGTGTGCCTACGACTTGCAGAGACTTGTGAGGGGTCAGGGTGGCTGCACTGTGCATCGCTGGATCTGCTCACTGATCCCGCTGCAAACACTCAGTGCTGGGTAATAAGTCAAGGTCAAGGCAAGTCTGATCCTTGGCTTCCCAATGGCAGGGGAGGGCTCGAGTCCCCTGGCCAGTGCTGCTCTGAGGGCATTCTGAGCACTTCACACACCTGCCAAGAGCCCTGGAACTGCAGCACCCTCCCCATCTCAAGGGGCACTGGCTTGCCCCCGACACTCACACTGTTGATAGGATGGTTTCCTGGTCTGCGAGACAGGAGCATGGCAGCCATGGCTGGGGGATAGCTGGAAGATATGGTCAGTGAGCCCTGGCTACAGAAGGCCTGGGCAGGTAGCAAAGCAGGAGGTGGATACTCAGGTGTGTGCATCACCCACCTTCTTCCTTATGCAATGGTTGTTAAGGGAACGGCGTCGAAAGCACTCACTTTTGTGCGCCATAAGCATGAACGGAACCCTGCTTCTCTGATGTCTTTATGGTCATCACTAGATGAGAAAGGGCCATGCAGGAACTGTCTACCCATTTCCACGAGAGATGAATGGCTACCTGCTCTGAGATGAGCGCCCGGCCAGGGACATGGTGGCTGTGTCTCATGTGGCTTCCCCCAGCTCCCGAGGCCTGTCAATCCACCTCCCAGAAACTGCCACTGAGCAACCTTGAGATTTCCTAGAATCAAGCCCACAGCTGCTCTCCTGCATGGAGCGCTGTGCCTACAGTGTGTCATTTTAAAGGCAATCCCCCTCTACTTTTTAGATACTGAAAGATTTGTGTTTTGACAAACTTTGGTATTGGATCTCTCTTCTTAATCTTAAGCCGTCGGTTACTGTTTCACTCTTAGATAGATTAAGAGACAAATGGTGAAATTCCAACAGACTCTGGTGAATACATTTCACAAAGCCTTGCTTTTTATAAGCTGGGGAGGTTTGAAGAGGGTGTGTTAAAAGACAGAACCCCCTGAGAACAGGAGGCTAATGAGTCACACATGGGGGCCAGCACTCCCTCGGTCCCCATAACCACCAGAAATAAGATCCATTGAGAGCCGCATCTGAGGCCCAAGGGAATAAAGTGCTAGGGAAAGTGACATTTCAGACGAAGGTCAGGAGCCACCCATCATCCAGGCACACTACTGCCATGGCAGGGGCCAAGCGAAGCCAGAGTGCCTGGCACTCACCTTGCACACTCTTGCTATCCGTGGGATCAGCACCCTGAACACAAACTCGTACTCCACAGACACCTCTGTGAAGAAGAAGTAGACCCTGTCATCCTCGCCGTCGGGGCTGTCTGGGCTTTTTCGAATCACGTCGGCAAACACAAAACTAGGCTCTGCAGAGAGAGGACAGTGATTATCCCGGAACACAGAGCTGGGGGCCTGCCTGTACCCGCGAGGTCACGAGGCCAGCCTGCACTGCCTTGGGGGCCTGAGGGCTTCCCTGCAAGGATGTCTGGAGTGTGCACATGCCACAGCCCAAGCAGAAACTCCAGGGTCCGCGGATGATGACAGCACGGAGCCCACAGGGTGCCTTACCCCCACCTCCTCGGCCTCAGAGAGCACCCCCCGGTGGTGGTTCTGCAGCGCATCCCACCCAGGCCCACCCAAAGAACTGAGGCTGGGCCTCCTGACTGGAAGGCAGGGAGCCAGATCGTACCAGCATCCGAGACCTACGTAAGGTATGCATTTGCTGGTTTAAACAACACATGCTTCAAATCAACAAACTCTAACCACCAGATCCTGCCCCACCCCGAGGAAGAGCCGAGTGTCCCTGAATCTTGGGTCTTGGGATCTGCCCTGAGGTCAAGAGGTTCAAAACCCAGGGCTCTACTGGCTGGCATCCACAAGAAAAGGCTCCATGAACAGCCACCAGCTTCTCCCTGCACATTGAAGACGGACATCGGACACGTGCCGCTGGCAGCAACAAGGCACCCAGAGCCCAACCGACCAGGCGCTACAGGCTGGGCCTGGAGGCAGGTCCCACACCAGTGTTGGCACCACACTTTAATATCACTCCAGAAATTACACCATGTCCCCATCTGATTAGTTTGAGTTTGCCATTTACTATCAGATTCTCACTTTTATGACAGTCTCCCAAATCCATTTTTGGGGGGTTGGTGGTGAGCTGTCTTAAGACAGTTAGCAGAGAGAACACCAAACAAGGTGCCCTGGGACTCTGGCCATTTCTGGGCAGTTTGGGAAGTGTCCCCCACAAACACAGGCTGACATAAGCTGAGGGGCCCCCAGGGCTCAGAGACAGCAAAAGGAGAGATCAATGGGTGTGTGCTCATGAGGAGACATGCACCTCCCACTACGGTGCACTGCTCCTCCTTACCGTTCAGCCAAGGGATTGCGTATTCCGTCCTCAGAGGACTGTGGGAAGAATTTCGGGAGATGATGGGTTCACTTCCCAAAAAATTATACGACGTCCCTGAATAAAGTTCTCCATCTGCAGGGGCCCAGGAGAAAAGAGGAAAAGGAAACCAACCTCTCAGGCTATGGCACCAGCCCCGGGAAAAACATTCAGTACAGTGTTTTCCTTGATAACCCAATTAAGTGTCCCCCCGGGGAAGGGGAAAGACAGTCTACTCAACTTTTGGGGTGTCCTGTGTCTTCTAGTTATTTCTTTTTCGAGATGAGGTTTTTTTGTTTTGTTTTGTTTTGAGACAGAGTCTCACTCTGTCACCCAAGCTAGAGTGCAGTGGTGTGATCTCACGGCCACGTCCGCCTCCCAGTTCAAGTGATTCTCCCGCCTCAGTCTCCCAAGTAGCTTGGACTATAGGCGCGCACCACCACATCTGGCTAATTTTTATATTTTTTTGGTAGACATGGGGTTTCACCCTGTTGGCCAGCTGGTCTCAAACTCTTGATCTCAAGTGATCCAAGCGTGAGCCACCGCACCTGGCTTAAGACGAGTTCTTGCTGTTTCCCAGGCTGGTCTCAAACTCCTATCCTCCTGCCTGAGCCTCTCGAGTAGCTAGGACCACAGGCGTGCTCTCACTTTGATGGGAATAATTTTATGCTCCATGTTCAGCTGCATTTTAAGAGTCATGGGGCAGTAAGTAAACATGAGCAAGTAATTCCCGCAGCCAGGAAAATGCTGGCAGATGCAACAGTGGGTGCACACGAGGCTATGACCACTTGCTCAGGGGTGCAAGACCACCGCAGACAGCATGTGGCTCGGTCAAATCCTTACTCTCAAACAGGAGCATTTGCTCAGCATGAGGGGATTATCCAAATGACATGAGCCAGCAATGGATACAAAGTGGCATTTACCATGGAGGCTACTATCCTTGCAAACAATGAATTCAAAAGTTAAAGGGTCTATATAGTCACATGTGCCTTTTGTAAGGATACCTCCCATTTAAACAAAGCCAAGAAAGACAGCACTTCAGAGAAGATTCAAATATCCTGTTTGGTAATTAACATGCCACTGTAATCTTCAGGGTGAAGGAGCTGGAGGGGCAGGACTCACCAACCATGACGGATGTGTAGCTGTGCGCTGGGTCAAAGGGACATCTTCCTTTGCCATCTTCGTTTTTCCCCAGAAACTTAAAGGATGTTAAGTTCTACAATTGAATAAAAAGAAAGCACATCATCAGATGGCTGAATTTCTGTAGTAATACTGAGTCTTCGTACCATTTCATTTTACAAATTTGCTATTCTCAGAAGACTAACAGGGCCGAGCAGATGGGTGTGGAGCTACGAGAGTCTTGCCCACCAGGGCCAGGGCTTGTGTTGCTCAGCTCAGGTCTGGACATCAGCACCTTGGTGCCCTTGCTCTGACGCTGTGGCCAAGCTTCTCAAGATCTCAGACCTCAATTTACTCAGCTGCAAAATGGAAATGGCAATGCTGATGGCTCTAGGGCTGGAAAGCCGCCAGGACAAACCAAATACAGGACCTGCTCAGTATGTGATCGGAAGCCCATGAGCAGAATTTTAACATCAGTAAAGATGGCATTCTAAGCAGCTAGGTGACCCAATAAATAGGAAACAGAAAAACTTAAACGGGCAGAATCCCTACCTCACTCCACCCACCAAAACGCATTCTGGATGGATCAACGATCTGAATACTAAAAACAGAACCACACTGTACTAAAACAAAGCAGTGGCTGGCGTTTCCATCTGGGGGTCATCTCTTTACCCAGCCAGAGTGCCCACAGCCACATGAGGAAAAAAATGCACAGAGCAAACCATAGAGAGAACTGGAAAGTTCCACACAGGGAAATAACACGGCAAGGTTAAATAGGTGACGAACTGGGGGGAATGCCGACAGAATGGCAGATGAGGTGTCTCCATCCCTGAACATGTGAGAAGTGTGGACAAATGAGTGAGAAAGGGCATCCAGGACAAAAACAGGCAAAACCCAGCAAGTGACAGAAGAAACTCATCTGGACAGCGCAGACGAGAGAGGGGCTGAGCCTGCCGGGAACCAGAGAGCACACAGAACACACATGGGGATGCCACTTGGCAGCCAATAGCCCGGGGATGCTGAAGAAGACAGGCAGGGTCCACCGCGGCGTGAGGGCACCCAGCACCTCTGCCGCAGGAGGCTGGCTGGAAACATGCTCTCGGAAGCAGAGCGGGAAGGCTCAGACCACGTGGAAGGCCACAGCTGACACCTCTGAAAGGCCGGTTAAAGCAGCATACGGTTCTTCACCTGTTAGGTTAGGGAATGTGAACCCCACTGAATATGACCATTTATCATACCTTGAAAGGAGGTTTGGGGGCTGTTGGGAAAATCTGAACAGGGACTGGAGACAGGATGATACTGGGGAATGACTGAACATTTTCTTAGCTATAATGACAAAACTGGAGTTACATAAGAAAATGTCACTATTCTTACGAGATGCCTGTGAAGGCATTTGGGAGTCACGGGTCATAGTTCAGCAAGAACACATACGTGCACACACAGACACACATGTAGACACAGACATGCACAGGCACACAGACATGTGCACACACACACTCCCAATTGTGCAATCTAGGTTGCCAGGATACACAAGTGATACATCTTTTCTGCAGCTGCGAAAACTTTTATTAAAAATATTAGGAAAAATTGGTGGGGCATGGTGGCTCACGGCTGGAATCCCAGCACTTTGGGAGGCCGAGGCGGGTGGATCACCTGAGGTCAGGAGTTCGAGACCAGCCTGACCAACATGGAGAAACCCCATCTCTACTAAAAATACAAATTAGCCAGGCGTGGTGGTGCATGCCTGTAATCCCAGCTACTTGGGAGGCTGAGGCAGGAGAATCCCTTGACCCCGGAGATGGAGGTTGCAGTGAGCCAAGATCGTGCCATTCTACTCCAGCCTGGGCAACAAGAGTGAAACTCTGTCTCAAAAAAAAAAAAATTAGGAAAAATTATAGGTCTAAATTTAAACCAAATACAGTATCCTCTAACCTCAACAACTAACCTGTCTATAGAATGTAAGTTTAAATGACAGAACTTTAAGCTTCTGATTGAGTTTAGCCAGAAAAATCCTTTGTTGTGCAAAATGTTTCTGGTCCAACTGCACTTTGGGCACAAAAGCAAATACAAACGACTGTCTTTGAAGACTGAAGGTCTTACCATCCCCAAAGCACCCCCACCCCCATCCGCTTTCGTTGCCAGCATCTGTGGTGCAGGCAGCTGGGTAGACCCCGACTACGAATCTCACCCCAGACGTCTGTGTGCAAATACCAGGCTTCCTCATCAAGCCTCTAATGAGGCCATACGTTGTCTTGTCATTTATCTCTGACTCAAGATTGGAAAATATTTTAATTCCAATTAATTTAGGGTTCTAGCAAATGATGCTTTTCACTGTGGCATATTTTACATTTATCAGGACTCATTAAAATCCAGGGACACACAGTAGAAAATGTGCTTCATTTTCCATGTATTCCACTTATTTAAAAGGCTACTTCTCCCTCTCTTTCTGAGGATCATCACATTGCTCATCAGATTATCCGGATAGAAAGGACCCTCACACAGCAGGAGGTGCCGGACACCAGGCTGGGCAGTCAAGGATGTGACCCGGTGAGGGACACAGGCCGGACTTGCTTCTCGAGGAGCTCGGCACACTTGACCGGCTGCCCCTCAGTGGGTGGACCCAGGAGTGGTTCAGTGAGCAAGCTGCACACCACAGTCGACCCGAAGGGTGGCTCCCACAGCCAGAGCACAGGTGCGCCAACCAAGAACACACAAGCCAGGAGAAAGTCCTGACTTTTCCACCTGACCCAGATGCCCAGAGCTACCAGGCTGTCTGTCCTTCCCAGCACGCCCCCCCACCCCATGGCATGTTCAGGCTGTCTGTCCTTCCCAGCACGCCCCTTCATGGCATGCTCTGCACTAGCATCAAGGGCTCCCAGCACCTTGAGCTGCACCCCAGGCCTCGCCCTTGGCCATGGACACCGAAACTTAGAGGAGCCAAGTGGGCTGTGTGCCCCTGACAGCAGCTGTACAAGGCTTTCAGAGGGGCCACAAGCTGCCTCCGTTTTCTGCGGCTGGCTCTGAGGAAATCCTGTTGTTTTTTAGGGTGGAGACAGCTTTATGTCTGCTTTGAGCCTCCTTCTACTTTAACTGTTGACCAGGCTGGCGTGAGCACAGGGAGGTGCCCATCAGCCTTACCAGGTGGTCACAGGCCGGCTGGAATGCGTTGGTCCCACACACGTAAAGGGAAGTGGCGCTGAGCGGCTGCAGCACCCGGATGTAGTTGAGGCACTCTGTCTGCAGGGAAGAGAAATGCACCATTAGCAACCGTCCAGCCCAGACGCCCTCCACTATTCAAACTGCTACCTCGTTCATCTCAGGGGCACAGACCCACATTCACCAACACCAGCTCACACGTGGCCCCAGGCCAACGAGACGTGTGCATTCTCAGCCTTGTCTTGTCATCTAGACCCTCTGCAGCTCCTCTTCACACACTGGCCTGTTCGCGTACAGTGGGAGGTTCACTGAGACCCCAACCCCACCCCTAGGCAAACCTAAAGCTGAAACTGGCCTGAGTAATTGTGTCCCTGCAGTGTCCACAGGCTGTTCAGGTGCCAAGCAGGATTTTGTTTCAGTCCCTAATTGATACTCAGCAAAGATGTGGTGACTAAAAAAAAAAACTCAATGAATGCTTACCGCAAATCTTACTGGGACACCCACTGTTGAGAGCAATATATTTCACTCTTGCTAAGTACATGGGCCACTTGTTCTGTTGCCAGGCCTGGAGCAGTGTCTACCCTACAGAATTTCCTCTTTGTTTCTGGAGACCCCACCCTGCCTCCCACTTGCACAGAACTAGGAACAGTGATTCTAGGTCTACCCAACCCAGGGTCCCAGTCCAGCCCCCAGGGGAGAGGCTAAACTAGGAGAGCCTGGAGCCCGGCTTGGCATCAGAAAGGCCCAAGCAGGAAAACAAAGATATCATTTCAGAACTCACTATTTTAAGCTAAAAGTACTTGCATTACATGTGCTATATAGTCTGAAATTATCCCAGATTAGGAGATCTCTTTTTGCTTGACTGTTTTTTAAAGTGGTTGGAAGTAATTCACTATTCACCCCAACGCACCTGCACACCCCCGGAAACAGGAGCTACACTGCGCTGCCTGCTTTTCCTCTCATTTCCTAAACTAACTTTGGATTTAGAGACAAACACTTCAGTGCAAGTGTTTGGCATTTTGCTAACAAAGTTTAGCAAAGACTTCCTTGGGTTTTCTTTCTTTTCTTGCCGTTAACTCAGCTTGTCTTGACCGTCACTGGGGAAGACTGCCCAGTGCCCCGTAGGGACATGACGGCTCAGAGGGTGGCGAGGACAACCTAGAGCTGCGGACGGGAACGAGCACTTGGTCCAGGGCTCCCTAAATGAGCACCACACCGAGGGGCCTGAGGGACCAAAGGGCCAGACATGTGCCAAGAATCCAAAAGTCCCAGTGATAGAGAAAGGAGCCAGAGAAAGTCTAGGCAGACAGGGGCAGGTCCCTGGCAAAACCCCACCTGCGAGTCAAAAAGCCTAAAACCTGCGGCCTAGTGAGAACTTCTATCCCTGTTTTCCCGCTCTCTCCTGATTGATTCTTTCTGAATAATGTCTTTTTACAATCAAATGTTGCCTTTTCCAAATACCCTGCCCCTCATCCTGTGCCTATAAAGACCCTAGACTCAGCTGGTAAAGAAGAGAAGGTGCTGGACTAGAGAGAGGCGACTTGACTTCAGAGGGATGGCTGGACTTTGGAGAAATGGCTTAACTTTGGAGAAGAGCTGGCCAGAGCTGGCCAGACTTCAGGGAAGATTCTTTGCTCATTCCGTTCCCTCTCCAGCTCCCCTCTCTGCTGACAGCCACTTCCATCGCTAAACAAAATTATCTGACTCCACCATCATTCAAGTGTCCATGCAACCTCCTTCTTCTTGGATGCCAGACAAGAGCTCAGGACCCTGAGTGTGTGTACCCAAAAAAGGCTGTCATACTGGCCCTTCGCCCTCACTGGCAGCCCTCACATGTCCCATGCAATGAGGCAAGGGGCTCACTGAGCTGATAACACGCCACTGTCCATGGAGAGCAGAGAGAAAAGAGCACTGTAACACGCCCTCTGGGGTTGGCGGGGGTCACAGGCACCCCACCCTGGGTGCCACCAGCAGGGCCCACACAAAGTCTGCTCCTGCTGGCACCCAAAACAGCTGGCCAGATCCCACACTCGCTCGCTCACGTGCTCCCTCCTGCAAGAGGTTGAGCACAGCGGGCCGAATGAATGGGGGACCTCTGTCGCAAGTCCAATGAAGGGGTTGAGAAAAACTGCATGACTAGCAACTCCTCCAAACCAAGGCCTCTGGGTGCAGGGAAGCAGAACAAAGCCTGAACTGCTCCACCATTCACCAGTGGGCTTCAGAAGTCGTGTTCTGTAGTCAAAGTTTCAGGCTATCTGAATACATTCAATTCATATAAACTTTTAAAAAGTATTTCTCAAAGGCCAGCTATGTTTGGCACCTGATTTGAGAAACCCAGTCCCGATACTCAGGAATAGAGGGATAAGCTCCAAGATGCATCACAACAAAACCAAGCCCAGCAGAACGAACAGAGCCTGGAGAAAAGGCAGGCCTGCACTGCAGGAATCCTGGCATTCAGTAGATTAAACCAACCAAGAAATACTTGAATGGGATTTTTTGTAGCTTGCAAAAGAAATTACCTGTTTTGATTTCCCCTTTTCTGCACATTTTGCTTTTTTGTCTTCTGAGACCTTCCAATACACCTGTTGGGAGAGAGTCTACTTCAGTGCATATTCTTTTAAAGAGATACTAGTATGAAAATGCACAAATTTAAAAGCACATGATAAGAGTTTAGAGCCTAGAGGTTTCTCCTGAGAGGATCAATTCTCAGACTGCAAAGGAAGTTCAGAGAGCAGGGGAGCGGCCTGGGCCCTTCAGAACATCCTCACTGTGATCCTTATCCTGAAACCCGTGGAGTCTGGAAAACCAGCTCCAAAATTTCCATCACTCACCATAAAACAGCAGCAAAAATCAAGCTAGTGAAAGTGGAGAAAATAAAATTGTCAAAAACCTAAACTGTAAGTATTTTCAAACATTAAAGTGCGCTTTTTTTTTTTTTTTTTTTTTGAGACGGAGTCTAGCTCTGTCGCCCAGGCTGGAGTGCAGTAGCGCAATCTCGGCTCACTGCAAGCTCCGCCTCCCAGGTTCACGCCATTCTCCTGCCTCAGCCTCCCAAGTAGCTGGGACTACAGGCGCCCGCCACCTCGCCCGGCTAATTTTTTGTATTTTTAGTAGAGACGGGGTTTCACCGTGTTAGCCAGGATGGTCTCGATCTCCTGACCTCGTGATCCGCCAGTCTCGGCCTCCCAAAGTGCTGGGATTACAGGCGTGAGCTACCGCGCCCAGCCACAAAGTGGGCTTTTTTCCATCCATTCAAAGTGACTCTACAGATCAGGTGTGGTGGCTCACACCTGTGATCCCAGCACTTTGGGAGGCTGAGGCAGGCGGATTATCTGAGGTCAGGAGTTCGAGACCAGCCTGGCCAACATGGTGAAACTCTGTCTTTACTAAAAATACAAACATTATTTGGGAGTGGTGGCATGCGCCTGTAATCCCAGCTACTCAGGAGGCTGAGGCAGGAGAATCTCTTGAACCCAGGAGGCAAAGGTTGCAGTGAGCCGAGATCGCACCACTGCACTCCAGCCTCATGTGCCTAGGCAACAGAGTGAAACTCCATCTCAAAAAAAAAAAAAAAAAAGTGACTCTACAGTCCAGTTTAAAAAAAAAAAGCCTCAATATTCACTGTATCTGTGGAAAGGGAGAATTATAATTCCTTAAACTTGCATGTCAGCAGCAGGAGGAAGTGATGAACTAACACCACCAGCTCAGCTCAGGCACCGTCTTAGTAAGATCCACGTTCCTACCACCTCTTCTTTCAAACCAGGGACAATTTGTGATCACAAACTGCCAGGGGGTGGGGGTCTTAGCCCCTTGCCCTCCAAAGCCCCCACAGGATAGAAAGACAAAAGGAAAAGAACAGAGGCTTCTATATCTATCCCTGCCTCACCTTCCACAAAATGCCCCATCTCTCTCTGTGATGTTCCATAACGAATGCAAAAGAAACCAGTAACCATACATTTTTCTCCACCAAGAGGCTTGTAGTGGGTGTCAGGACTCAGAGGTTAGGAAGCACACAGGGCTTCTAGGAGGGACAGCATGAGGAGAGGAACCCCACTTTAGGTTTCTAACTAACTCAGTGGCTTCCTGCACAGTACCCAGGCACAGTACACAGTACTAAGGGAGTGTCATTTCATAGCAATGGAAGTCCTGATAGGGGCACACAAAAGCAGAACAGAGTCCCATTTAAAATAGCAACTTCCTTCAGCATTTAAAGTACACATGATTTCATCAACTCGCAGGAAATGCGTAAGGAGAAGGGAACGTACACTTCAACAAACTCTTGATCACGTTTGCAGGGATTTTCACTGATGGGGGTCCCTTTATTTTTTCTTTTAAGTATAAGAGGTCCCGAAGCCTCTTTCCAACCCTGACGGACCACCATGGTGTCATTAACAGAGCAATGGCTGGCTGTCACTGAACACCTGTGGGGCCAGCACAAACACACTGTCCACAATTCCCCCAAGACTGAGTGTGAGTCTGTGTGGTCAGGAAGGCGCTCAGAGGAAGAGAATTTAACAGACACGAAGAGTAAGAGCTGAGTGAGGTGAGACCACCACATCCTTCTGCTCAGAGTGCCTCACAGTGCTAAATACTTTGTTTCTATTTTTTTGAGACAGGGTCTTGCTCTGTTGCCCAGGCTGGACTGCAGTGGCATGATCTCAGCTCACTGCAGCCTCGACCTCCTGGGTTCAAGTGATCCTCCCACTTCAGACTCCCAAGCACCTCAGACTCCCAAGCAGCAGACTCCCAAGATCTGAGCCACTACGCCTGGCTATTTTTTGTAGTTTTTGTAGAGACGGGTTTCGCCGTGTTGCCCAGGCTGGTCTCGAACTCTTGAGCTCAAGTAATCCGTCTACCTCGGCCTCCCTACAGTGTTAGGATTACAAGGGTGAGTCACAGCACCCAGCCAAACACTTGTTTTCAGAGCATAATGCTCAGAGCTCATTTATGTGTCAAACAGAAATTGAGAAATAAGCTAGACCCTGGAGATGAAAACAAAAAGCGATCTGAGCAGAAAATGTCCAACAAGAACCTGGAACAGATTCCAGAGAGCGAGAAAACGACCCCACACCGCGAGGTCTCAGGAGCCAACCCAAACAGGCTGCTGTTGGCCGTGGATGCGACAATTTGAGCGTGCAGCAGAGATTTCACTGCGATGGGTCAAAGCAGAGCAAATATGTTTAAATCTATGACTTCACTGTGACACGAAAAATCAATAAAAAAACTCATTCTTGCCCTTCAGAGGGGAAACCGACTCATTAACTCATTGAAAACTGGTAAACAAAGGCAAAGATTCCAAGCATCGATTCTGCATTTCCCAAAGGAACTGGGACCGCTACGGACCAAAAGAGCTGGTGATGGGCACTTTCCCTTTTGTCCGATTTCCAGCTAGCAAGTGAAGAAAGAGGGTAGCATCAGAATATTGTGTTTTGCAATCTTTGATGAGAAGAGGATCTAGATTTCAATGGTGAAAGGCCCCTGAGACCCAGGAGGAGGAACACCTGCCTCCATGGAGAAGCCCGCCTCTCATGGCCCCGAGTGGGGTGAGCCTGGACCTGAAACCCAGCTGGGGATGTGAAGACAGAGGTGCATGCTATAGATACCGTGAGTGGAGCTGGGTGTGGTGGCACATACTTATATTCCCAGCGACTCAGGAGGCTGAGGCAAGAGGATCACTTGAGCCCAGGAATTTGAGGCCACAGTAAGCTACAATCAAATTTTAAATTCAGTTTGATTTAAAAAAAAAGTTTAAAGACACTGAGGACTCAGGAGCAATGTGAAGGGTGGGACATGGGATGGGCTGTGCAGAGTAGCTTTCTCAGGAAGGAAACCGAGGCTGGCTCCTAGAAGCGGAGACTGAATGGACAGGGTGACCAGCTGCAATGGATTGGGACAGTCTGGTTGCAACCTGATTCAAACTAAACATTCGAACCAACTAAACAAGCATCACCCACAAGAGAGTCGGTGAAATATGAACACTGGCCGAATGGATGATGACGTAAATTTTGGAGAAGCTATTTTTGGTTATTTGCACGACAAGGGGCCCTTTCTGATAAGAGATACCCAGATGAAGAATGTGGTGCCGGGATCTGCCTCAATGCCCCAGGAGGTGGAGGGCACTGTGGGCAGGACTGAACACCTGGCCGTGCATAAGCTGCAGTGGGTCCAGGGTTCATGGAGTAGCTGTCTCTGCTCATAGGTACGTTTGAGATTTCTTCGGAATAAAAAGTTCAAAAACAAAAAAAGCAAAGCGGGTGGTCCCTGGGTGAACTGCTGGTGGACACCCAAACATGGGGCTGCATGGTCACAGCTACAGGACAGAGGCTCCAGGTAAGTCAGCCCCCAGTCCCACGGTGGGGCCAGGAGAGGCTGCCCACTCAAGCCAGGCTGTGTGGACATGCAGGGGAGCCCAGGACGTACCTCATGCTGCTTCTCGGAGATGTTGAGTGCGTTCACAGCGAAGACCGCCTCCCGGGCGCCTATGTACAAGGTGTCCTTGTCCTCGCTCAGCAGCAAGGCTGAGTAGTTGTAGATGTCCGGCTCGTGAAACTGCACCAGGCGCACCTCTGGGATGCAAGGGCAGGGTCAGAGCGGGAGGAAGAAAAGAGCGATGGAATCGTTTTTAAACCTGGGCACATCCTAGGTCCCGGTCTCAGTGACAATGAGCACATCTGGGTGTAGTCATGTCTCGGAGGCCACGTGTTGCTGCAACAGGCACTGCTGCAGTGGAGGCGGCCTCAGTCAACAGCAGACCCACAGTGCAGCCATCAAGTGTGCACACGGGAACCACAGCCCGAGCTCGAGCCCGGAGCTAGTGTGCTCACTTTGAGACTGTGAGTCGGACATCCCTTCCTGCTCCCTCAGATCCCACAGAGTCCCAAACCCTGCTCTGCCAGGTGCTTCCTGTGATGGCTCCCACCCTCTGCCCACCCAACTCTGGTCTACATGCCTTGTCATCCACAGATGAGGTGTACAGGAATACAATGATTTAGGATTTTCTTATTCAGAAAAAGAATGTTTTACTTCAAAATCTTTACAAAATTTCTTTTGGAGAATATATCCATCAACCCACGCAATTCTCAGTGGTCACCACCACCAACTTATAGACAGAGAAACAAGTGACATCTCTTTGCTTATTAGGTTACTGTATCAATAGCTACTTAGGAAAATGAAGATTTGAGCAATAGCTGCTTAAGAATAATATACATGTATCGGCATTATTTTTTTTTAGGACCTGTTTCTTCAACTGTCCTGACAACAATTTGAGCATTCTGACCTTGGCTTTTTACATATTACCAAGAGTCTGTTTTATTTAAGAGTCAGGTGGGCCAGGTGTGGTGGCGGGCGCCTGTAGCCCCAGAACTTTGGGAGGCCAAGGTGGGAGGATTGCTTGCGTCCAGGAGATCGAGGCTGCAGTAAGCTATGACTGTCCCACTGCACTCTAGCCTAGGCAACAGAGCTAGACCCTGACTTCGAGAAAAAAACAAAGAGAGTCAGGTGTTCATGCTTTCTGTTCTAATTTTCCCATGTGGAAGAGAGATCCACACAGGCAGCAGGTCCTCTCTTGGCACAACAGTGGCCTATATTGCTGACAGCTCTTAGCCGCCTGCAAGCAACACCTTAATAAGCTCTCACTCCACTGAGTCAGAAATCCGGGTCCCCAGACACATCCCCCAAGAGAAGAAACAACTAAAACAAAAACTAAACAGCAGCAAAGGAAAGTAGCTGGCATGAGGCTCAGCTGCATATAGGACCAGCGTCCTCATGATGCCCCACTGTTCTCAGGCGCCTGGGCAGACACTCAGAGGGGCAGGTCCTTTGGCAGCGCACCGCAAATGTTACCAGGTACGAGGGAGGGAAGCTTCCTGTCAGGGGCCCTCAAATTCAGAAACCAAATCAGGAGGTCTGCACGAGCCCTGCTGAGTATCTACAGTTGTCACAGCCTCTCCCTTAGATCAGCTGCATAGGCCTGTCTGCTCAAAGTTCTTAGAGCAGAGAATCCAACAGATCACATGCCAGCATCCTCAGCCACCTGCCTCAGCATCCCAGAAAATGGAGTCCCTGTCCTGTCCCCAGCCACCCACCTCAGCATCCTGGGCAGTGGGGTCCCCGTCCCATCCCCAGCCACCTGCCTCCACATCCCAGGAAGTGGGGTCCCCATCCCGTCCCCAGCCACTCACCTCAGCATCTCAGGAAGTGGGGTCCCTGTCCCACCCCAGCCTCAGCACCCCAGGCAGTGAGGTTCCCCATCCTATGCCATCAGCACCCCTGCAGGCTTCATCGCTCACCTCTGTGCTCCCAGGTGATCCGGGGTATGGGTGCAAAAGCCATCGCTGTCCCAAACATCACTGCAAGGGCCATGAGCAGCCCCCTAATAGGGATGCACATCCTCATCAGGTAGGGGCGACCCCAGGGGGTTCAGCAGCAAAGGCTCACGGCAGCAGGTGGCCGGGAAAGTGTGCTATTGCAGATGTGGCTCAGCGCCCCAGGACCAGGGCCAGCAGCACAGCCTGGAGTTGGTGAACAGCGCGGTCCCTGAGAATCCACATTTCCCAGTTCTCCAGGAGAGGAGGGGTCGCTCTCACCACTGCAGTGCGAAAGTCCACTGGATACTTCTTCAGGGCCTCAGAAGAAATGCTGGAAGGACATGAGAAAGAAGAGACAGGACCCGTGGTGAGTGATGACCCACTTCTCACCGCTCTGTAGCCCCTCTGCTTGCCCTGGGTCCGCACCCGGGTACATCTGCTGAGGAACATGGAAGGCGGCGGGGGACAAAGAGGGTCTTAGAAGTGGATAGCCCACATGGACACAGGAAAGTGAAGCCGGGGTCTTCAGGAGTCAGTGCTTCCCGCTCCTCCAGCTCCCAGCCCAGAACGCAGGAGAGACACACGGAGGGGACCTGGTGTGGGGCACCCGGCAGACACACATGGCCGGCTGGCTGCCCAGCTTCCTTCCTGTGTGGCTGCTGCGTCCAGCTGGTAATGAGATGAAAATGAAGGAAGAGAACTCAGGTTTCAGTTTCCCTTAGAGACTCTGCCTTTGTAACGCTCAGTGAGGAAACGGCCAGAAAAACCAGAGGCTGCAGAGAGAGTTGAGATGTACATGTGAGTGCACACGCATGCACACACACAACATATGCATACACATGTGCGCACACACAAGCACGGATGTACACCTGCACAAACACACGCACGTGAGGCCTCACCATGCAGGAGTGTCTGACCTCCTGCCCCAAATGGGGCCCTGCTGGCTCTTCCAGTCTCACTTAAAGAAGTCTGTGCACCACAGAAACGGTGGTGACGCACTCGGATTTGCCCAGGAAGAAGTAGCCCTTAGTAAAAGAACAGGCTTCACGCTGCTTAGTGAAACCGTGGAGCTGGTGGTGGAGGAGGTGTGCATAGGCCTCCTGGCCCCATCTCTCATGTCCCCAACTTTCTCTGATGACTGCATGGCTCCTGTTCTGGTATAACTTTGCTGGTCCCCACAGCCTAACCCGCCACAGGACTGGCCCAAGGGCGTCTAGCACCTTGATCTGGGGCCATCTGCACCCCTGGGTTCACTCTATGAGAAAGTCCTGAGCTGGGCCCAGTGACTGGGCACTTTCACATTACACTTCTGTAAAAAGTTCACTCACAACAGCACCCTGGGACCCCTGAGTCCCTTGCTCCCCCTTCTATCCAGGAGTCCTGTGAGGGTCATGGAACAACCACACCCCTGAGCTCCAGACTCCAGAACCCCACTCCTCCCCACCACCTCTACATGCCACCTTCCACCTCTACATGCCAGCTTCCACCTCTACATGCCACCTTCCACCTCTACATGCCAGCTTCCACCTCTACATGCCACCTTCCACCTCTACATGCCACCTTCCACACCCAGCCAGACACAGCCGAAACGGAACCTCACTCTGCTTCCAGCCAATTCCTGCAGTCCGTGTCCTCACCTAAAAAAAGCACCAGCAGTCAGGGGCCAACCACATCTACCTCTAACCCCATCCCCACCCCCAATCCATAGATGGTGCTGCTGCTCAGCCTCAAACGCATCTGGGGCTTGTTTCCTCCTGTCCATCTCCACCACCATCACTCATCTGAGCAATGCTCACCTCTCATCCTGGCATCTTCAGCAGCCTCCTACTCCCTTACCTCACTTTCGTTCTTGCTTCCGTGGTAGAGATCACTGGCTTCCTGCCCCAGCATCCACGTTCCTACACTCTCACTAACAGAATCCCGAGGTTACTTGGGTTGGCAATGTGCCCAGCTCACTACATCTCCCAGCTTCTCTGGTGATAGTTCTGGTCAAAGAACTGTACGTGAATTTATTAGATGGCAATTCCAGGAAGGAGGGGCACCCGGCAGACACACAGATGCTAGCTGATTCAGCTAGCAATTCCCTCAGTCCTTCCTGCTGCTGCCTGGAACTAGAATGTGATGGCTGGAGCTCTGGCAGCCATGCTATGAACATGAAGATAAAAGTCTCATTCTAAGAACGGCCAAGTGAAACCCACAAGAGCCTGTGTGACCCTGATAACATAATAGAGACTTTGCACTTGCTTTCTGCTGTCCATTTATTAGCAAGTCTGTGCAGACTTGCTAATAAAATTGTTAATCTCTTTAAATGACTTGCTTGCAGATTTTTGTTACCAACAAATACCATTCCAAACTGACACAACCTCCCTCCAATCCACTGCCACAAAGTAGCAGTGGCCAGAGTCATGCTCTTATCATAAATCAGATCAGATCCTTTCCCCATGTGAAATGTTTCAACAGCTTCTCATCACTCAGAACAAGGCCCACATTTTTCATCACAGCCAGCAAGGCCACGGACAACCCTGCTCCACCTCCATCCAACTGCTCCTCATCCACATTCCCTCCACTGCACTGTCCTGGCTACACGTGAACACACAGAGCTCGGCCCGTCTGCAAGGCTGTGCAACAGCTGTCTCTCCTGCCTGTCAACACCACTTAGAACATTTCCAGATGTGTCTGTTCTGAAGGTGCCGGTCTAAATCCCACTGCACAGTCTCATTCACCTAAGAGGCTTTTCCTCTGTATAACTGATCGGTAATTAGCAGTGGCTCCCAAAAGCTGCTCCACTTTGAGCTCCCAGACCAGCTTCTACATAGGCTCCCAAGGAAGAAGACTCAATAAATTATAGGCTCAGCTCTTCTGAATTCCAGGCACATTTGCAGTTCCTTGCCATAATGGTGTCACTTTTTGTTTGCAAACCAGAAGTAGACCTACTTAGCCTACAAAGTTGTTGTGAGAAATATCTGCTAAATGATTATTTAGCAGATAATCATATTAATGTATAATTAATCAATTAGCATCCGATAATAATGTTTATTATAGTAATAATGTTATTGCTCTGACAAATACGAATGGAGCTCATGCTACGTCTAGAACAAATCAGTCCTGGCCCTACGGAACCCATGTCCTAGAGTGGGACTGCGTGAAAGCAACCAGCCCAGGGCCTGGCACACGGAAACATCCTATGCCCCTCCAGGGTCCTGCTGCCCTTGCTCTTCTCAGTCTTCATTGCATGCAACGACATGGGAAAGGATGGTAACAGTGGTGACAAGCTGTCCACAGTCCCTCAAGAGAAAAAACTCCCATTAAAAACCATCCACCCCTCCTTTTGGAGCAATGATCCCCTGGCATTTTCAGGATGCTTTCTTTCTCCCATTCCGTGTGACAAACGTCACACAGCCAGTGAGAGCCAGAAGTGACAACGTGGCCAGGCTGCCCCATCCCTTAAAGCAGAAGAGGATGGCACACTCGCACCGTGAGAGACTTCACACTGGCTCCCGCGCCACCGGAGGAGGAGGAGGAGGAGGCAGGCCTGCGGCAGGCAGGGTCTCAGAGAGGGCTCTAGTCATACATGCAGCAAGGACACCAGTGGCCTGGTCCATGTGCTGCAGTCCCAGCCCAGTGAAACCCAATGAACTGACACTGGCTCCTCCAAGTCACACCCAGCCCCAGGTCCCAGCCAATGCCAAGCTGTGCACAGCAAGGATACAGCAGAAGCACCCGCCCTGCTGGCATGTCCCCCAGCTGGGCAAAGCTCCATACACACAAAAGAAACAGCAATGAGCTGCCAGGGGATGGGAGAAGGCGCTCTGAAGACGGATGCGGCGGCTGCAGAGATAAGGCGTGCCAACCACACAGGAAGGCAGCAGCGGGGACAGCCCAGGGGCAGGCGAGTGGGTATACAAACCGCTACATCCAGACAGGGGAATGTTACTCAGCATTAAAAATAAATGAGCCATTAGGCCGTGAAAAGACACAGAGGAACTTTAAAAGCTTATCATTAAAGCCAATCTGGAAAAGTACATACTGCATGATCCTGATCCCAACTATAGGACATTCTGGGAAAGGCAAAACCATGAAGACAGTAAAAAGATCAGTGGTTCCCAGGGGTTGGGGGGAGACAGGGTTTTTAGGGCAGGGAAACTACACTGGCAGGGATATTACCACAGTGGACACATGTCAGTATGCATTTGTCCAAGCCTACAGAACGTACAACACCAACTGGCAATCCTAATGTCCAGGTACAGATGTCGGGTGATAAGGTACCTATGTGGGTTCACTGAAACTGTAGCAAAGGCACCACTCTGGGGGCGATTCTGAAAGTGAGGGGGCTGTGCATGTGTGGGGAAGGAGCGTATGGGAAATCTCTGTACCACCTTCTCAATGTTTCTATGAACCTAAAACTGATCTAAACAATAAAGTCTATTAAAATCAGTAACAACAAGGAACAGGCCTAGGAGTTCCTTGCCAGTCACAAAAGAAGCCCCTGTTAGGGTTTGTGGCCTGGACACGTTAAGGAGGTGAGTGTCCAACACCAGACGGCTGGGAGCAGAGACGCAAGGGTCACAGGGCCCAGTTCATTCCACGTCAAATACCAAAGATGCTGGGTCACTACTGGAGAGAGATGGTTTGCATAGGATCTAATTCCTATCTACGTCCCCAACTGCAGTCAGTCCTCTGCGTATCCCAATAAGCACGCTGCGGGCAGGCCAGGCTAAGAGTCCAGAGCCAGGAGATGGGAGAACACAGAGATTTATCTCAACTCTCTCTGGAAACCCAATGAAATGACTCTAAAAGGATATGAACTTTAAGGATAAAAATGGAGGGAGGAGGTGACTTTGGAATCTATTAATAGGTGAGTAGTAACCAATGGTGTGCTGGCAAGCTGTTAATACTGGCTCTCCACGGGGTGGGCAGTGGGGGTGGGTGGTGGGGTAAGGTGGGGGGTGCCCAGCTTGTAGCACACGCTGATTTCTGTGGTGTAAATGCTGCTTTCGAGCTTCCAGAATGATGCCGCTGAACTGGGGAGAGGTGCACAGCAGCACCCAGCATACAGTACTGCCACCTCAGATACAAGAGACGAGTAACTGCAACCACACAGATAACAGTAGAATGCACACGATATTAGAAAGGAATGAGTTCTGAGTATTTTACCTTTTTAAATATAATTTGTTTCATTTTAAGTCCATATATTTAATTGTTAACAGTGGCTGTCACCACTGTTAAAAATTACCACCAGCCCTGTCACACACCCAGCCCTGTCACACACCCAGCCCTGTCACACACCACCAGTGCCGACTGATTTGAATTTCGGACCACAGTTGAGCCAGG